TGCTGAGAAATATCATTACAGATGATTGTTTCAGGTTCAGACTGGCTAAAGTGGGAGATCTAGAGGGAGTCGTTTATCAATTCTTGACTCGGAAGCTGAAAATATCTTGACCCTTCATGCAGTGGGCTGATTGATGGATGTTGAAGGAAGTCCTTGAAATTCCTCTGAAATGTTAAAGCTATCAGTGTTCAGCCATCGGTACATGTTGATTATACATATGTAACCAGGATATAGTGTTGAAACTTGTCTGTAATTTTTTGTGGTTTTGTTGCTCATGTTGTAGGGTTTTTCTGGAGTAATAGAACACATTACATTTGTTGTTTTTGAAGATAAGACATGGTCTGGTAGCCCCTAGCAACAAAGGTATTAATTGGACCAGTAAGACGAGGATAACCTTTATAGAGTGCACATGCTTTACATTCTGGTGAAGGAAATGTTGTATAGTGTTATCAGATCTTTAAGTTGGTTCTGTGTGGTAATAGTAACCTTCTGGTTTTGGAATGGTCTGTTTTACTTAATTAGTCGGTTTCCGTTTTTCTTGAATTAGTGAAAGCCTGAAATTTTCTGGGATGATGTGTTTTGTAATTGCACGCTCTCAGCAAAGAAGAATATGTTTTGTTCTTTTCATTAGTGTTTTTGTTTTTATAGAAAAACATGCTTTCATCATGATTTAATCACTTCATGTAAACATAACAGACTCCTCAGTCTGTTATAAAAGATTCCTGTGGGACATGCATTTAACAACATTACCCCATATTCTTCAAATCACTTGAGTGTTTTCCAAACTAAAACCACCACAAAATGTATAAAGAATTTTATTGATATATATGTATACCCTACTTGTTTTCTATGATAAAAATGATTTTCACATCTATATCAAATATCTCCATAAATTGCATTCAGTCATCGAGTTAAATTGTGCATGACCTTTCACTAGTCATCACTAAATTTTGGTGTACTCTAAAGCTTACATGCAGTAAGGTATACAGTGATGATATAAGTGGTATATGCTTTTTATAGATGTTTTCCAGACAAATTTTTATTGGGAAATGATAAACACGACAAACAAGTTCATAGAATGCAATAAATTCATAGTAATGTTTGTCATTTATATGTATCAATATTTAGATTTGGTCGGTGACTAGTGATTGTATATGTATACAGAGATGACATCATGGTCCCTATGTAAGGTAACATGATATAATCTCCCTCAACTTACCCCCCCCCCCTCCCACTCTAACCCCTCCAACCCCCACCCTCGTTTATCTGTAGGACCCCTGTACAGCATGCACTTAGAATAAAACATATGATAATATTGACAATGACTTCCAACATCATGTGTGGAATTGTTTTTTAATTTGCATTTATATATGAGGTAGTATAATTATCTAACTGAAAATGAGTCATAATTATCAAATGCACATGTTGACTACTTATGCTAAGCCTTATGTATACTATAGTATTTAACTTCTGTTGGTTGTTATAAGAACATGTACTGCAGAGATACAATTGTTTCTTTTGAATAACTTCATAGTTTTCAATTGAATATTGTCTAGACATGAAATTTTTTAGATAAAATTAAACCTTTTTGGGATGTAGTATCATTTTAATGTTATTCTTTTTTTTTAAATTGAAGTTTCCTTTATGCAAGCTAACAGTTCTAACATCATTAAGCTGAGTTATGGTTGTATGTGTGCCATGTAAATTGCTGTCCATCATCATCATGATATGTTATAAAAAAAATGCATAGTCAGCTTCACAAGGATGTTTTTAATGTAGCTCTATGACATTAAAAAATACATATTTAAGGGGGAAAGGTATGAAATTCCAATGATTTTTGATTACATTTTGATTGATACATGAAGTTATCAATAGAAAATTGATGGTGTGTATATAAACAACCAGCTGATAAGTTGACCAGAAAGTAAATAGAGACCTGGGTACCTTGTTATCTTCCCTGGTTGATTATCATTGGTGATAGATATAAACAGTCCTTGCCAAGTGTTATGGTCAACTGGTCAGCCGGTCAGCCGTGGTTGGATAGCTCCAGGGCACATCAGTCTTTATGTGGTGTTTGTTAATAATACCTTGTAATGGTTGGATTGTCATTAGGAATTTTTCATGCTCCGTTGACTTTTGACACAAGACCGTGGTAACATTCCCGTAACAGTTGCAAGTGTCTATTTACCTGGTTTTACCATTGCCACCACTACTGTATATGAATGGGTGTATACCTGTGACGTTTAGGTGTTGTCTTACACCAATGTCATCATTTGACCCTGACTTAGTGTTGATGACTTCAATCAGAATTTCCTAAGAGCAACAGGAATATGAAGTCCCCGAACAGAAAAAGTGCTTACAGGTATAGTGATATAAGTGAATTTTGGAATTATTGAAATCTTGTGAAAATGTGAAATGTTTTATAATAAGGTGTTAATGAGTGTTCTGATTGTATAAAGGTGTGGGTGGTGTAGGTTTCAGTTGTAGGCTAGCAATTTGTCTCATTTCACAGGCAAGAAGGAAAGTGAATGCTTCAACACAGAACAGATTACTGTGGTGTACTTCTGTGAATGTGGAAACTAATTATATATACTTCAGAATCCTCTTCCACAGGTACATCTCCCAAAGTCTAGACGGCTAGACTTTGATAAATACTCTAGCAGAAATGCTACAGGGAAGAAGATGTGGATCCAATAACACAATACTTGGATGTTTACGATATGCTGCTGACAAGGGAGATAACTATACTCATTGCGTCAACTTAGATTAAACAGACTTTTTTACACGCTGAGTTGAAGTTGGATTTGGGGCGTAGATTATAAGCAGTTGACTGTGCTGATGGGAAAAGATGTATGAAAACTGATGAGGCTTAATTGTGTTTAGGAATGTAGAATTACTCACCCGGAATGTAAACACAGAATTTTATAGTTTGAACTTGATCAGTTTATTTCTGTTTCACTTATCTATATGATTTCTAACTCCTTATGATGTTGGCACAGAGCCAAGTATACCTGTCTGTGGAAGTGAAAAAGATTGTAAAGCCTGCTCACAATCTTTCTCTTCCAAGCTGATTTTTTCTGTGTTTTTGCTAACTCATACATTACTTTCTACTTACACACAACAGGCTTTACTTGTACCAGTTATAAGCTGTAACTAAACTGAATTCATATTCGTCATGATGACAAAATTACCCACATATAAGGTTTTATATCTCAGATGAATATCTTTTTGTAGATCTGGTAGCAATACTAGTATATGTTATGTGGTGGTGTTATCAAGTTTATCTCTGTGGCTTTTTCTACACTTGTCCGTTGCAGTAATGAGAAGGAGGCTGAGATGAAGAACGAGTAGGAAAGTGGGAGGATGGCTTGTATTGATATATTATCAGTAAAAGTGTAATCTTTATCCTAGGATACGTTATCAGCTAGGTGTCACAGTGTTTTGGTGTACAGATCTACATACAAGCTTTAGATAGGTGTTCTCAGACACATCAGTCAGATATATATACTGTCATAATTTTAAAGAGTAGCTACAACTGACTGATGTTGAATTCTCCTGATTTGTGGCACAAATTTGGCATCCATCCATGTTCTGACTGGCTTTCTTCTGGTATTAGGTTCTGTACACTGATCAGGCCTTACTCATAGTTACTCAGAAATATGTTGATTCACCTGGCTAACAGTTTCATAAGACTCAAAAAATGATGAAATGTGTTTTAGCTGAAATTAATTACCAAACTTCACTTTCTGTAGCAAATGAACCTGTGTCTTGGTTGTTGTTACATCAATATATAAGACAGCCTGTCTTGTTCATGGCAGAAAATATTTTTAACAAAGTTTGATCATTTAAAACTACAAAGAGACCACTCCTACTTCTTGCTAGTGTGGCTATTCATTACAAGAAAATTTCGTGTTAACTGGTTACGTTATGTAGCCTTTTCTTCACAGACATGGTCTGTCAGTTCCTCTGAGGACTGATTACAACACAAAATTCTTTCCCTGAAAGTTATTTACATTTTTCCTCACTACTGGTCTGGCTATGCTCAGATATTTGAGACCACTTGGCTAGGTTGAAGTATTTTTAGATAGAAAAATAAACATCAGGTCATGTTAGGTTTTCATCCAAATTTATCAACAGATAATAGCAATAGGATCTCTTTCATTTTTTCTTTCAGTGAAAGCAATAAAATGCTTCCCAACATGTTGCGTAGGTTTATGACTTCTGTATGTAGGTGTATGTTAGTTCATGGCTACACACACATGTAATGTTCATCCTGCTGTTGATGTGTTACAACATTTACAGGAAGAAGATAGGATAAAACATTTAATATTTTTCCCACTGTTTCGGCGTACCTATCATACATGTTTATAGTTATGCATATGTGTGGTGTTTGAACAGTCTCCAGCCCTATGTGGTAACATTGCAATATATTTCCGCTCGCTTGTTGAGTGTTAGGAAGAAAGAAGAACCAGACCTCCTTTAGCTACACGTTGATTTTACATGATGAGGTATCCACCAAAAACAAGATAAACTTAAATTTCTCTTATTACAACCTGTGTGTGATCAGCTTGTTCACATTTTCTGGATGTGTTGAGTTAGTGAATTTCACTTCAGGAGCAAAAATTGCAATGGGATGTTGTTTTTAATGTGAAATTTCCATTTTCTATTAATTTGGGAGTAAGGTAGAGATGGAGGCAGACGTAATGAATTATGTCCCTTGGATAAGCTGGCCAGGGACAACCAATGTTATTACTGAATACCTCCTAAATTCAAACAACCATGAGACTGTTCAGTCTACTTTAGGAAACATACATTGTCATGTATTGAAGAGTGTATTTTAAAAAATAAATCCATGCAGGCATGTTGATTTCATGTATTATTTCTGTGATCAGCTGTAAGCTTAACATTAACATTAAAAGGAACATTTTCTGTTTTCTGAAGAACATGGCTCAGAATAACATTGTTTATCTTAAGATTATATAATATGTGTTTGATTGCAGTGAGGTGCCCATAGTGACGGCGAGGGCCAATGTGATGATCTATGATGACATCAATAAAAGATGGCAACCAAGTGGCAGTACGCAGGGCCTGGCCAAAGTACAGATCTACCAACACACTGTCAATAACACATTCAGGGTCGTTGGTCGTAAAATGCAGGACCATGAGGTAAGAGAATAACGAGATGGTGAAATATTTAAAGATACAAAAAGAAAAAAGGCCTCTTCCTACTGCATAATCTAGGAGTTTTTTTGTATACATAACCCCTATAGAATCACAGAATTTCTTCTCTCTGCCCTCAGTTTTTGTCTATGGAGAAAACACTTTTCACCTTTATATTTCTCTTTACTCTTTACGACCATTGTTTTTTGTATACATAACCCCTATAGAATCACAGAATTTCTTCTCTCTACCCTCAGTTTTTGTCTATGGAGAAAACACTTTTCACCTTTATATTTCTCTTTACTCTTTACGACCATTGTTTTTTGTATACATAACCCCTATAGAATCACAGAATTTCTTCTCTCTACCCTCAGTTTTTGTCTATGGAGAAAACACTTTTCACCTTTATATTTCTCTTTACTCTTTACGACCATTGTTTTTTGTATACATAACCCCTATAGAATCACAGAATTTCTTCTCTCTACCCTCAGTTTTTGTCTATGGAGAAAACACTTTTCACCTTTATATTTCTCTTTACTCTTTACGACCATTGTTTTTTGTATACATAACCCCTATAGAATCACAGAATTTCTTCTCTCTACCCTCAGTTTTTGTCTATGGAGAAAACACTTTTCACCTTTATATTTCTCTTTACTCTTTACGACCATTGTTTTTTGGTAATGCATATGACCATCATGGCATAACTAGTTAGCCTGTTGACTTGATCAGGTGGAATATAATAACTGGGATAAGGTAGCATTACACACTATGATGAATTGAAAATGAGCTAATTAGTAAAAAGTTTTTTTCTTATTCCAATCAGAATGTTGTGAGTATTAGACTAATTATTTATTTTGGTCAGGTTGAATATACAACTTCCCTGGTTATAGGGCAGGTGCTCAAAATCATGGCCAAATCATATTGTCTGAGTTTTATAAATGTCTGATACTGCAGTGCTACACAGCAATAGAATGCTTGGGTGTCTCACAATGTATTGAGGAGTGTAGGTTTTTATTAGTCATTGACATAACAGACAAATGATGTGCCAACAAGTTTATGACACATTTACTAATTAAGACTATTGTTTGTACAAGTTGTAAAAGGGTTTCTGTTGTAAAAGGACGTCTGATGTAGGATTGTGGGTAAATTAGACAGTAAATGTAGCAGATTTGTTACAAATAACTGTAAGTATGATGATGTGTATATAGAAATGTTGGTTCGGAAGGATGTCAGATGTGTTTACATTCATATCATACAGGATACACCAGACTCTGGCGGGTCAAGTGTATATACATGTACTGTTTGTTCCTGACTGGCAGCAACCACAAGTGGAAAATGTATAAGAACATTGACATAAATAGAATAATAAGTTAGGTTCAATATATGTACAGTAATTGTCAAACTCTATTGTACCAGTACTTACAAGCCTTTAAGTAGCTTATATTTCACCATATTAAAGAAATAATTCTTAGGTTATTTTGATGTCTGCACTACAATTCTGTGTAGTAAACATTCATTGTTAACTGTTTTGTAGTATCATGTCCAAACAACATCTTCTACACACAATATTAGCACCACAATTCATTTCCACAGTGGCATCAGTGTTTTTAGAACATTTTTAGATAAAATTGATTTGATTTTATATTTTTTAGAGGAAATATTCATTACTGTGGTAGTTTATGATACTGTTGAAAAGGTTAATGTTTGACCTTTGAACCCAGGCATGACCCAGATAATGAGAAACCAGGTTAATTAGCTGAACAGGCATTTTACATATTTGTCACAGAGACATAGAGGGTGTTCTCTCATAACTACTCTCTTACCATCCTCTTTACTGTCCTCTCACTGCCTTCTTTATTGCCCCCTCATTTTCCTTTCTACTGTTTCCTCACTGTCTTCTTAATGTCCTCTGTACTACCCTCTCACTTCATTCTTTACAACCCTGCTCCCTTTCTGTCCTCTTTACAACCCTCTCACTGCCCTCTTTACTGCTCTCTCACTGCCTGCTTTACTGTCCTCTCACTGCCTTCTTTACTGTCCTCTCACTGCCCTCTTTACTGCTCTCTCACTGCCTGCTTTACTGTCCTCTCACTGCCCTCTTTACTGCCCACATATTTTCCTTTCTACTGTCCTGTTAATGTCCTCTACTACCCTCTTACTTCCCTTTTCACAACCCTGCTCCCTTTCTGCCCTCTTTACAACCCTCTCACTGTCCTCTTAACAACCCTCTCACTGCCAGCTTTACTGCTCTCTCAATTTCTTTTCTACTGCTCCTTTACTGTCCTCTTCACTACCTTCTCACTGCCCTCTTGCTATCCTATTTACTGCCCTCTCATTGCCCTCTTTACTGCCCCTCAATTTCTTTTCTACTGCCCCCTTTTTCCCCCTCTTTACTGCCTTCTCACTACCCTATCTATTTCGACTTGCCTGTTGTTGATTGCACTTGTCCAACCCTTTCCTACCATCACTATTATACTACAGTAAGAGACGTGTTAGATCAATGCAGTATTATTGCAGTAGGTGTGGTACATCCACTACAGACACTTGGGTACTGACACCAGTGAATTACACTTCAGCTAATGAGAACACTTAATGCAGGTAAATTAGGGACATCATTAAGTTCTTTAAAATAGTTTAAGGGGAAACAATGTATTATGTTTAGGAAGTAAAAAAAACCAAGACAAGAGTTCTGCTCATACATTTATCATGTCTCACAAGAAATATAATCTCATATTTTCTGTTTAAAATTCTTCCTTCTCGAATATCTTTCACTAGTTTTTATCACGTGGACTTGGCCCACATTGATATATTGAGAGGGGAAGTATTCAAATGTTCACCAAGGGGATTTTTTAACAAAAGGCAAAATGATACTGACTGTTAAACTGTAGTAAAAGGTTCTCTGTATAAGGTATCACAAACAAAAATTAAAAAACAAAAAAAAACGATAAGAATATTTGTATAAGCATGTTCAGTTCAACTTGAATAAGGAAATCTCTACTAAGATTTTTTTGGTGATTTCTGTTGGTAATTGTTTAAATAAGACTTTAAAAAATGATAAAGAATATACCAACATGTCCACCAACCTGATTTCAAACTTAAATTTGAAAAACTATGGCAAAATTTGAACAAAAGAAAGATTTACACAGTGACTCCTGAAAAATTAAGGGCTAGCATCTTCTGTTTCATCAATGACACCCACCTTGTAAATGTTTGTTTATATTCACTGTTACTGCATACATAAAAACAAATTGCTTGAAAGCAATTTCATCATCATCATCATCATCATCATCATCATCATCACTCCTGGATTTCTGAAGTAATCATTTAATATTTGAATTGATGATTTGAACCCAAATGATATTGCCTTCATTGTTTTAGAAAGTTTTTAGAAAGTATGTGTAAAATTTTCTTTATATGAATTTATTTTTTTCCAGGTTGTTATAAATTGTGCAATTTTACGAACATTAAAATACAATCAAGCCACTGCAACATTCCACCAATGGAGAGACAACAAACAGGTTTATGGATTAAACTTCAGCTCGCGGGAAGATTCCGAAACTTTTGCTCAGGCTATGATGACAACACTTGAATCATTAAATCAAGGTAACATATTAAACCTACCCGGTCTTCAGTCTAATTTGTGATTTTCTTTACCAGTATGTTCCTTTCTGTGCTTTTTCAAAACTTGTAACTGATGGCCCTGGCTTATTATCAGCTTGGACATTTTTACTCCCAAGTTTCATTTAGCCATTTTAAATAACAAACTTTAACAGAGGACAATGATTTCATATAATCCTAACAAACCTTGGTTAAAGAAATGATATGAAATTCCAATGAGAGTCTCCCACAGCTCTGATGTACAGGTTAACATGCACCGACAATCCACTTAGACTTCTTGAGTCACAGACTCCTTCAATCTGTCGTGATTATATACCCTTACTGATCTTACCGATTTCTCAAATTCAGAATAATTCAAAATCTGTTAAAAAATCTGTCTGAAATAGCCCTGTGAATGTGTTTTGTCTCTACAAAGGTAGAAAGCGGTAAAACAAACCAAGTTTAAGGATCAGAAAGGGATACAGCAAAAGTGACTTTTAAGCAAGGGAGAACTGCTGATGCTAAAAGCAGTATATAAGCTTGTTGATATTATATGTGGTAGTCCTGCAGGAAGGAAAGTGTTTAGTGCCTTTAATGAGGGGTAAATTTTGATATTTATGACTAGATTTATGTGCCATGTCTGACTTGGATAATAAATCCAGATAGATATATGTTTGTAAGTAGAAACAATACATATGTACAAGAACACAAATACTGTGCTTTCCCTTTGGGACAGGATCACGTGAGAGAATCTAGCAGAAGTATTCTGTCTTATAAAAACACTATAGTAGTTATCTGAGTTGGCTTGTTGGGGTCAGTTTTGTAGTGCACCAAATTGCTTGCATTAGCTTAAAGAGGTTTGTCTGAATTCAATTTAATGTTCAAATCATTTCATTGATTAACCATCCAGGGTATATAGAAAGGCAGGTACAATCTTTATATCATAATTCCAAATGGAGTTTCTGATCTGTTTTGACATACCCACATGATTACAGTGGGTACAATTTCAGTTTAAATCACTTGAAGTTGAAAATTTACGGATGAAATGTTCCAAATGAAGCATGACGTGGGATATGTTTTGACTGATATTTAAGAGGTTAGTTTAAGATAAGAGCACTCAACGTCTAGGATTAATGCACTGCAACTAGTGAGCTACAATTTTACTGACATTCAAGTTGTTAGAATTTGGATGGTACAGCATAATGTATATATACACTCACAATATTTAAAAGCTGATTAAGGGTTGATGGATGGCTTCAAAGGGGAGGTAATTATAAGTTTGGAGTTCTTGATTGGGGCGTGATTGATGGTTTATAGGCCCGGTTTGAGGTTTCTCACTAGAGTTATGGATCTAGTTTCAGGACTTGCTCTGGAGCCTGATATTCCTATCTTATCTTATAGTCACTAGGTCAGTGCCTGGGGAAAGCAACATCAGAACACAAAAAAAATCCATTATCATGAAGAGCCAAGTAACCTAATTAAATGATAGCATATCTGTCATCTCGGGCACACATCCACTGAAGTTTTCATTTAGTTGCCTATTATTCTGTCCAGATTCTCACTGAAATAAATTTTGTTTATCTTATTTGGTGGTTTTAAAGAAGACTACTCTCTTATTTCAAACCCATTCTATCACTCAAACTTTATGCGGCATACTTTTCAAATTCTTTGGAAGCAGTACCATTTTGTGGATTCAGTATTTTAATTGTATCAAAAGTGAAATTATTTTTCTCCATATGGTGTAATGTTTGTGTTCAGTGTTTACATAAAATTTACTTTCTGTACTCCCTCTGAATAAAGGAATGGTTGTTCAAACTTAATGTCTCTGTTACAAAAAATATGTGCACAAATGTGTTCCATTTCAAAAAGTCTTGATGCTGAAAAAAATGACTGCTGTCTCTATCCATATAGCTTTTTTAGTAGTTTTGTTCTTCAAGTCTCAAAGCAGATGATTATGAACAAGATATTCAGTTTGAATATGATCATGAATATTCATGAACATGAAATTGATTTTGAAGTTGTTGTGAAAACCAGACATTTCAGAATGTAAGAAAACCTATGTATCTAAAAATATGAAATATGAATATAAAAAAATATGATGGAATTTACTGAAAAATTAATAAAAGTTCACTCAATAACTATTCTGTAAGGAATGAACAGTTTTCTTTGATAAAAGTGTCATAATCCATATAGAGTGAATACTTCTTTCACAGTCATTTTCCTTTTTGTCCCCACTTTTTCATAAAACTGACTGCTTTATCATGAAATGAACCTGGGTAAGTCTGTTTAGGATACAAACAGGAAGCTTTGTCAGGAAACTGTTGGAATATTACTCATCTAAACAAATACACATCCACATCTAAAGTATTTGTAATTAGCCTGCAGTAGATCTTTGCTTATCAATTCATCTGGATCTAACCCTGACAGCAAATCTATACACAATGAAAAAAATTTCCAGGGGATTTCAAACACTCAAGAAGAAATATTCGGGTAAAAATCACATAGAATTTCATACCTTATATATTATCACATAGAATTTCATACCTTATATATTATCACATAGAATTTCATACCTTATATATTATCACATAGAATTTCATACCTTATATATTATCACATAGAATTTCATACCTTATATATTACCACATAGAATTTCATACCTTATATAAAATCACATAGAATTTCATACCTTATATAAAATCACATAGAATTTCATACCTTATATATTATCACATAGAATTTCATACCTTATATATTATCACATAGAATTTCATACCTTATATATTATCACATAGAATTTCATACCTTATATATTACCACATAGAATTTCATACCTTATATAAAATCACATAGAATTTCATAACTTATATATTATCACATAGAATTTCATACCTTATATATTATCACATAGAATTTCATACCTAATATATTATCACATAGAATTTCATACCTTATATATTACCACATAGAATTTCATACCTTATATATTATCACATAGAATTTCATACCTTATATATTACCACATAGAATTTCATACCTTATATAAAATCACATAGAATTTCATACCTTATATATTATCACATAGAATTTCATACCTTATATATTATCACATAGAATTTCATACCTTATATATTATCACATAGAATTTCATACCTAATATATCATCACCATTTTATCCATATTATTAACAAGTTATAGAACATTTTGATTATTCATTGTTCTCGTTCAAAACACTTTAGATATTATATTTTAATGGAGGTTGTTACTCCAAGTTTTCGTTGACATTATAGTTTGTAATGAGAGTACATATCTTTGTGACTAGCCAGTGTTTGTTACTGCCCATTGTATTGATATGCTATCTTTTACTTCCTGAAGTCATATTAATCATACCATTACACAAATCATTAACATTTATAACATCAATGACTGTAATGGGATTTCCTCGTCAATTCTATACATAAATCGTTATTATGGGAAAACATTGAATCATTTAAACATTACAATAGTGAAGGAACAATAACATTTATGTGGATGTTGTTAGTTTTACTATAGATTTAAACATATTTAACTCTTGTGTTATGCATGTTACTGGATGTGGGTCTACTTAATCGTTCGAGCCCATGCTTGGTATTGACTTCATCCTGTAAAATCATTGATTTTTGTAGGGAATTATTTTCATTGATTACCGATGATTTCATCGGTATTCTTGATCCACGAATCTGTGAAAACTAAAATGTTTATATACAAATGATTTTAGTATGGATTGCTAAGTTACAGTAAGATATACATAATGTACCCATTGAGTGGACATTTGTTAAAGATTTCAGAACACATAAGTTAAAAAAAACCTGTATAGTGTTCTCTAAATTTGCATATGTTTATTTATGTTGTCTCTGCCTGCAGGACCTGTTGGTCCTCTATAGGCAGCTCCAATTTATCCTCATTTGTGTATGTTGTCCTTCTGATGTCTGCTCCATAGTGTTCCGTGTGATTATATCTCAGTGGGTGTTTGTTCCAGTAGGCGTCTAGTCTATTTTTGAATTGGTTTGTTGTTGTTGCTGTCACTACCTGCTCCGGTAGGCTATTCCAGGTATCCACTATCCTGTGTTTGAAGTTGTATACCCTGATGTCCCTGTTGCACTGCTGTTTATTGAGTTTTAGTGAATTCCCCTGGTGTCCCTGGCTGTATTCAATTTCAGTAGATGTTCTGTTACTTTCTTATCATATATTCCCTGTATTATTTTGAAGACCTCGATCATGTCGCCTCTCATTCTTCGGTATTAAAGTTTGGCATCTTTAAGTGTTTTAATCTCTCTTCATAGTTCACGTCTTTTAGCTGTGGTAGCATTCTTGTTGCCCTTCTCTGCACATTCTCTAGTAGCTCCGTGTCCCGCTTTCTGTATGGTGACCAGACCAAACTAGCATATTCCAGGTAGGGCCGAACTAGTGCCTTGAACAGTAGGCAGAAGGTTCTGTTGTCCAGGTATGTTCTTCTCATAAGTCCAAATATTTGGTGTGCTTTGTTGACTTGTAATTGTATGTGTTTTTCAAATGTGAGATGTTTATCGATGGTACCTCCGATATCCTTTTCACTGTCAACGTTTTCCAAAATCTTTCTGCTACTGTCTTTGTTAACGTGCTAAAATTTGATTCCTCAACCGGCTTCCCTTTATTTTGAATGGATAAGACCTTGCACTTATCTGGATGGAATTTAAGCAGCCATCTTTCACTCCACTTATATAGCTGGTCGAGGTCTTGGTGTAGTAGTAACGCATCACTGCCGTCCTTCATTTCTCTGAAAATTTTGGTGTTGTCTGCAAACAAATACACTTCTGATAGTATACAATCCGGTAGGTCATTTATAAAAATGACAAATAGAACTGGCCCCAACACAGATCCTAGAGGTATTCCACTGGTAACTTCATGCCATTTTGATTGCGCTCCATTTACTTGGACACATTGTCTTATGTTTGATAGAAAATTTTCCACCCAGACACATGATCTCTCATGTATTCCATACATTTTCAATCATAAGTCTACGGTGTGGAACCTTATCGAAGGCTTTCATGAAGACCATGTACACTGTATTTATGACTCCTCCCTTTTCTAGGATCTTGAAAATTGGCTCATTAATCACACTGCGTAGCTCATGTAATACTTTTGGGTGCAATTTGTGTGGTCCTGGTGATTTCGTCACATTCAGCTTGGCGAGTAGCTTATTTACTTCCTCTATTGTTATAGGTTCAATAGAATCCTGTGTGACATCCTTTCTTTCTAAAACTGGCATATTTTCACAGTCCTCTTCAGTAAAAACACTGCTAAAAAAGTTTGCAAGCACCTCCGCTTTCTCCTCATCCGCTCTAGCTATGAAGGTTCCCTCTTGTGTCTTTGTCTGTAATTCTGAAACACCGCTCCTTAATGATTGACACATAGAAATTTTGCAAAAATAATATGTAAGAAAATTTTTGCCATTATATTTAATTAGAATTGATTGAATGTGAAGATAGTTTATAGAACTGGTTACTTCCAGGCTCCAGTATCTCAAAACTTGGTTCGAGTCGATCAGTGGTTAGTGAAAATATTCAGATAAAATGTGTCAACTGTTAATGTCATGTTTTGCTTATTATCACATTTTCCACAGACAAATGGAACATGATATTATTAGAATTTCAATGTATAAACTAAACAAAATTGGAAGCATTCTCTATCATTTTGCAGTTGTAAGTTTGTTGAGATAGGTAAGATTTAGTGACAGTTTTGAAAGTCCTTATTTTTGTCTGTGGCAACAGTTCTTTCACTAAGCACAGGTTGATTCCAACCATGTTTAGAGCATGTGGTTAACTCTAACCATGTTTAGAGCATGTGGTTAACTCTAACCATGTTTAGAGCATGTGGTTAACTCTAACCATGTTTAGAGCATGTGGTTAACTCTAACCATGTTTTGAGTAACTGGGCTTAGGACTCTAGATCAAATTGGCTGTTTTGTTTCTTATAAATATAGTGTAAAATTTACTATAAATAAGTTACCATCATAAGTTTTAGTTTTAACTTTAAACTGTGTCAGCCTTAAAATCTTGTCAACTTCATTGTAGATGTCTCTAGTACTGATTAACAAAACTGAAAGTAAACATATATATCGTTTTGTCAGAGAGCTGATGTAGAAAACTATATGTCTTCTCTAAAACTCAGCCAAACTATGTTTACTCTAGATAAGATCTACAAAAATATCTCACAGAAACAGTACCTTAGGTGTCATGTTTTTTATCCAGTAGAATTACTACCGAAGTGTTTTTTCTAGTTGTGGTGGTTGAGTCCTATTATCATACAACTTATATTAGCAATTAATAATCTGACTCAGAACTGAGTCTCAGTGGTTTGAAATTGCGGCCATTTACCTCAGAAGGCCACACAAACAAAATATATATTTACCAATGTAAAGGTTTTGTTGAAACCAAGTATTTGTGTTTTGATCTTTGTTGATAACCGGTACACTTATGTAATTAATTTCCTACAAACATAAATGCTGGCTCCCATGAACACATGATAACATATTTTATACCATATTGAATTTGTGTAGAAACTGCAATCTTTGCAATATATGAGTTTTTTTGGGTTTTTTTTTCAAATATAAGTTAATGTTTTATTATCTGTCGTTTTTATGTATCGGAGTTAGATGTCATTTGTGATCTAAAGAACAAACTTTCTGGCTACACATCAAAGATCATGAAAAGTTTGGTATATTTATTAAGATGTCATACAAATTATGTATATCCTTGTCACATTGAGGGGAAATGAATTGAGACCATTTGAATTGTAGTTACCAAAGGAAATCTGGTCTCCACCACTGAGTGTATGCAACAGTAATATTGTGTAATAGAAATCAATTCAAAAGATGATAATAGTTTTTGATACTGTAATCAGTTTTAGTGGTTGTCAGTACTGCAGTACACCATGTGTATGTATGTTGCTTGGAATGGGGAATATTCAATATCAGACTGCCTTTACCCTGACAGATATGGAAATATATAGGTCCATACAGCTTAAGGTTTAGATGACGGAGTGATTTTCAGATTTGCTTCAGATCAGGCTCCACTTAATGTATTATGTATGTTTGTAAAAAAAAATCTGTGAAACTGACATGTTTTCTAAAATGATCTTTTCTGTTTGACAGGAACACAAGGTCCTCCCCCTCCTCCATCTCAGCCTATTTACAACCAGCCAAACATAACCAATCCCAACGGCCCTGAACACAGGTCTGTACAAAGCTTGACTGGTTATGGGATTATTGGGGATATTGGGATGTTTAAATTTGAATGTATTATGGAGGAAAAAAAAAAAAAAACTAGCACCACTGGGAATTTTCAAGTTTGCTTTAAAAAATTTATGTAATTCACATGAAATTTTAATGTTATAAGCCTGTTGAGTTGCATTTACTTTGTGTTTTGTCAATTCTTGATGTATTTGTATCAGGGATCTATCTTAATTCTTTGTATGCTTTGTTTTGTAAGCTGCATTGTTATAAGGTGTAAAACATTGTGACATTTTGTAATTTTACCAGACATTCTGGAGGTGGCCATGTCAGACAACCTTCAGGAGGAGGTAAGTCCTACAAAAAGAAAGTTTTGTAAACAAAGGGCTCCTGGTTTTTCACTAAGCAGTACCCTGTTTCAAACAGATTTCAATGCAACAAACCTTTGGCTGACTCTTTAATACCTAAGGCATGAAAGTTGAAAGAGTTATTTTCTTAGTTATTGAAAAGAACTTTTAAAACGTAAATACATTGTCCATATACATTTTTGTTTCAAGAACACAATTTTATTCGTAGTCTCAAATATAGGTGGTGAAGATAAAAAAAAGTCAAAGAGACATGAAAGTGAAACAATGAGATGACAATGTCCTGTTATAATATAATGACAGATTGATGATGATATGGAAGCTGTAACCTCTGTACATGTATTCTATAGTGGTTTACATGATTGTTTCAGCACCTAGAGATTTCAGTCATTATGATGCTCAGCCAGCACAACAGCAGCCCCCACAAGCTCCTAAACCCCCAAATGTTCCCCAGGCGCCCACACCGCCTGCCCCTCCTCCAGCGCCTCCTGCACCCCCAGCAGCCCCTGCCGCCCCTCCAGCACCTCCCGCACCTCCAGCGCCCCCAGCACCGCCTTCTGGAGGACCCCCAGCCCCACCTGGTGCTGGGCCACCAGCTCCACCCCCTCCTCCTCCTGTAGGTGGAGGGGGAGGGCCTCCAAGTGCATCGTCAGGAGGTGGAGGGGGGCTTGCAGCAGCCTTACAAGCTCAGCAACAGAAGATGAAGAAAGTAGAACCAGTAAGTATTGCTATAACAGTGAACTAGTCACTCCAGGTGCTGCACTTAAGCTTGGCAGTGATTTGAAAGTGTTGTTTCCTTTGATAATTGTTACAGTGCTTTACATTGACGGAACTGAATTGATTCACAATTCATTAACTGTCTTAAAAATGAAAATTGTGAGTATCTGTAAACAGTATTAGTTTCATGTTTGTGATTTGACTAATTGGATTTATCAACACTTCAAATTTTAGATCATCTGGCTAAAAAAAACAACTTTGTACTGTGTGTAGTAAGTTGCATTTAGCATATATTGTAACTTTGTGCACTTTAGCAGGCAGACCGGTCGAGTGTTGGAGACAAGAATCGATCTAGCGGAGGAGGTGGAGGATCTGGAAGTGGGGGAGGTGGTGATTTCATGAGTGAATTACAGAATCGCCTGAAGAAGTCTAAAGCACCACCTGCCAGTGTAAGATATATAAAGAATCGTTAATGAGTTTTCTTGTGGTGGGAAATACAAATTATTTTAATATATTTTTCATTGCACCTTTTCTCAGTTTTAATGTGAAAATGTGGAGGATAAAATGAAATGGCAGTTGTCATTTTGTTGTGCTCTTTTTCAATTCATGATATGAAATCATTGTTATTATCATGACATCACGATTTCTGACTGGTGCTGCCAATGAAAAAAAGCTCCTGAGTATATAACAATAGTGATGCCACTGGATAACAGGCAGATTATGTGATGAAAGAAATTATGTTTCCCTAACAGGGCTATCCAGAAATAGATTAAAGTATTTGGAGACAACATCATTCTTGACAAATCCTTGATTAGTAGCAAGAATTCTATTCAGAATGTTTTGAGTTTATCTTGAAAAGTGCAGTGTTTATTTTTTATTATGTAGAAACCCAACTCATATAATTTGTATCATTACACTTAAATCCATTCCATCTGATTTAGGCAGAAAAGCTAATATTTTAAAATAGAATTTTTACATGTTTTGGAAAATTCATTAATAAATTAGTGTAAGATATTTACATATTGTCTTTTGCTGCTTGAAATGGAAAATTACAATAAATGAGACCTGTTTCAGTAGTTAACATTTGGCAGGAGATGTTGTCTTATTACTTTTACTGTAATCCTTAAAACCTTAATATCTTGTTTTGACATTCGTGATGTAAATGAACTATTCCATGCAAGAAAATGGTTCATACCAGCTTAGTGTTGATCTGTTGACTCTAAGATAGGGTATATTCACTGTATTATTTGATGTCATTCTTAAACAAGAGAATAATTACAACATACTGATGAACAAAATATATAACTGGGAGGGAATATAAGGCTCTTTCATGTGTTGCGGATTAGGATAGGGAGATTCCTCTGGAGGAGTCACAAAATGTTGTAAAACCCAAGGCTTTGCCACAGTTGAAATATCCCGTCCTTCAACCCGACAAATGGAAAAGTTTTGCTCTTATTTCTTATCAAAAAAGAAAGAAATAGCTTCATTCATAGACAGTGAACTGCAAAGGATGCGATTTACATAAAAATCATTTTTAATAATGCGATGAGTCAACAAATTGACAGAAGAATTCTCCAGAAAAATGTAAACAATATATCAACAGTCACTGTAAATAGATATTTGCACAGAAATCTGTATACATTGTATCAGGCAATAATATCAATTGGGAAGGGACACATCACATTTCTTTGCGTGAGTGCCTGTATTGCATGGGTGGGTGTGTAATACAAAAACAGTAAACCTGGGGACAGACCAGTATTATAGAGATAGAAATGAGAGAAAAATAGGTAAAGTCCAAATACTTGATGAGACAAACAGGGAAATTTTCTCAAATATCATGTTTTGATATATAGACTTCAAGGAAAAACTATAGAGAAGAATATTCTTGTACTACCAACATACTTATTGGTATATTTGTGTCTGATGTATTCATTATATTGTAAATTATTATCTGTCTAGGACCCAGGAACCCAAACCCCACCCTCAGTACCTGTTTCAAGTAATCGGCCGCCGCCCACAAAAGCAACCAATGGCAAAACACTATCAAATGGATCAGATTCTCCACAGATGAGTAGAAAGTAAGTAAGAGTAGAGTGATCTCCCTTGATTGTGCATTTCATGACATATTACAGATCAAACATTGATGGTGAAGACGACCTTGAGTCATTGATATTACATTTGGTGCATGGTTCATTTGAAATTCATTTAATTTTGTTATATTGGATGTAAGTGTATTTAATAGATATTGGATTTTATATCAATAAGGAAGGGTAAATAATGAGTGAAATGTGAAGATTTTGTATAATCAAAATGACAACTTATGCCAGACATTTCTTTACCAAAGTACAGTCAACTACTTCATGGTATTATTGTACTGGAATTGTAGAGAAAAGTGATTTGTATTTTTTTAAAAGTGTTTATTTTGTAGGAAATTACCAGTATTTATGCTGCTTTTAGATAATTTTTTTCTTCAATTTTTCTTTGAATTTACAAAAAAAACATTTTTCTTAATAAATATTTTTGTGACAGGCAAATCCTAATCAATATTTTTCTGACAGATTTCTTTTTTCCCTAGTAAGTTATCCTTTCCTATATTATTAATAAATTGACAAAACTTTTAATTTTTCTCTGTAGGAAGCCATCATTTTTGACAAAATCTGACAGGTACAGAGATATACCACTAATTCTCTAATGATATATTACTGTCTGTTGCATGGTCAGTCGTCCATGGCTGGTGACTCTCGGATCTCAGTCATAATTTGTTCTATATATTGATCCTCGACTTGGTGTAGCATGGTGATGTGTTGAATATCTCTCTGTCTGATGTAGCCTTGTTCTCTAGAAACTTGACTTCACTGCTCAGGAAAAACTTTTCATAGATATTTCCATTGAAGTAGTATTTCATAACATAAATGCATATCATTTACTCTCTAAATTATTTTTGTCTTTTAATCCTAAGATTTTAAACAGGTTGAATTCTGATGAAGGAATAAATAATTTTTTTCAGACAAGTGGACATATGATTGATTTTTTGTTTGTTTTTGTATTTTTAGTAATAAACTTTAAGATAAGAAAGTACACACATTACACTGCAGTTGTATACACAACAGAATACACTCAATTGATGTGATATACACTGAACTTTAAAATAATACAGAACAACATACTGTGACTAGGGACAAGGAAATGTGACACAATACACAGCAACATATGCTGAACAGAAATAGTATGTGATGTGTGTCTTTATAAAATGTATGTATTGGATGTTTTGTTATATAGGTAAAAGAGAGTATTTTATTAAAAAGCAGCTGTCATTTCATCCAATTCCATAAACATTTCAAGTGATTTTATTACAAAAGATTTGATGGTGTTTGTTGATACACCATATTGACACCATTTCCTTATATAGAAAGTTACAGAAGTGAAGTAGGATGGGAAAAATCACCTGGTATTATTATATCATTTGAAATACATAGGAATATACAGTCATTCAGAATTTCTTCATAAATTACAACTACATGTAATTATTACGTCTACATTGAATATTGTCATAAGACAAGTTTTCTTCAAGTAAATCAAAATTTTTTTTTAAAGGATGGTGAGAGTTTGATGATAAAAGAATATTTGAGGAAATCTACCTTTTCTTTCAAACTTTCATGGAGAGTGGGACTACATGTTCATCAATCTTAAAACTAAAGACCTTTATTATTGTTTTTTTAGGAGAATTAACTCTTTAACTGGACAGGATACGACGGGAGTTACTAATGGACCAAGCAGTTCAGACCTAGAGTCACTTAAACAGGAAATCCTTACAGAAATGAGGAACGAAATGCATAAAGTCAAGATAGAAATCATAGAAGGTGAGATATGCTTACCTGTGAAACAGGGATGTGATGGAATAGAAATGGACCATTTACAAAAAAATGAAAACAACTTATGGAAAAGTATTGAAAGAAAAAAGCAGTTAGTGAGGGCAAGGGAGGTGGGGGGGATCAAATATGAGGACAGAAATGGTTTCAGTTATACATAAATTTATTTTTCGTTTTTATTAAATTTCCGTAACATCTTTTGTTTATATGATCAGGAATCCCAGGTCATTAATGTTATTGTTTTCACTTTTCTTGTTGCAGCAATTCGACAAGAGTTGGGCCATAGATAAAGCGTAGTGTGATAGTGATCTGCCTGGTGTGTGAGAGCTTGGACTGCATTCTCTGAACAATTTACGTCATGGTGCAGCATACGACGAACACAAGGTGTTTTATGAATTAACAGGCCCATCAGACCTCTTCTGCAGACCAAACTTATTGTTTCCATGTAACCAAGTATACCCTGAAACAAAGCTTTTGGCTTCATCACCTCTATGATCAATGCAGACACTAGGAAGTGGAAAAATCTAGGTGATTTGGAGGCTTTATTTTCATACGTATCTTACGTCAGATTGACAAGATGTTTTGGAGCAGAAGAAGATGTACAGGCCATTCCAACAGTACCATCTATCTCCGTTGATTGTTGGTTCTAGAACTAATAATTCATTGTATACATGTGTATCAGCCTCGGTTTTAGGGGTGTCATTTGGATACAAGGGCTGGAGCATTTCTTATCACTGTAGCCGATTCCCATCAATTGTTTTTTGGTTCTTTTTTCAAGCTAACAAAACTTTTCATAGTTTTGATCAGAGTAATTCATACACAAAACATTAAGTCAATATTGAAGTTTTTTCATTATGAAACTATACTCTAGAAGAAAAAAGTCATGAATTTTCAACAGTTCTGCCCTAGCTCAGACATAATATTTGGGAATGTTACTCAGTGTTTAATAGTCAGTCTTAAATATTTATAACAGAGTTTGGCAATACAGCTCCATCATACAATATTTGTAGCTTGTCAGTGGATGATACAGTGTACAGATGTGAATAGTGTAATCCTGTACGAATGATGATCATTATTTAAGAGGTATCCATCATTCAGTTCTTTAATACTGGTCACTTATCAAATATACCTATGGTTTCTTATTCTATACCCATTTCTCCTAATTTTGTTCAGGTGTAATAGTTACTGGACAGTGCGAGAGCGAGATAAGAATGTTGAAGGAGATGTTGAGACGATCGTCTTAGGAGTATACGAGAAAAATGAGCCAAAAAAGTCGTCATTATTTTACGAATATTATTGTTATATATATTAAACACAATCAGACTTTTCCTGTCACATGGTCAGATTTATTGTGTCACATGATTGGATTTGTTGTCATGTGATCAGATTTGTCTTGTCACATGAGCTGATGTGTTGTCACATGATCATATTTAAATCTAGGACCATCACTTATACTGCTGTTTACAGTATTAACTGTCACATAGAACAAATGGTTCTTTTCTTTTTTTTAGTTTGAAAAAGTGTAGTACAAAATGATGAATATTTTGATATTTATGAAAATGTTTTGTTGATGTTTTTTTTATTGTTATACTTGTAAATTAGAGACCAGTCACTTAGAGTAATTAATTCCTGTCAAATAAAACCACTGTTGAATACAGAATCAATAATAGATGAAATTTCTTAATATTTATATGATGTATCAGTTTTATGTGTTTATCCATGTAAATCACAACTACAAATTATCACGAGAGCAGTTGTCTCCCTTGCCTCTTATGCTAGATTTAGTAGAAACTGTTTTGTACAAGGTTATTATTTTTAAACATTGATCACTTTCAAATCCCACATTTACAGGAGATATTGATAACAATGACCCACATTTTAAGATATCAGGGCAGCACAGTATGCTGTTGTAATTAGACATGAAGAGGAGATAATCATGTAAAATAAGATGAAGGATCAGATAATCATAAAATTTGTCAGATTGTAAGATGTTGTGTGTTTGCTGATTTGCAATGACTAGTAAGACTATGGAAAAGTGCAATCTGTTTAATCAAGTTGGAGCGAGGATTTGTGTTCATGTACGGTTGGTAGCCTGGAATAGATTATATAACTGATTGGAGCAATGTGTTGGTAATATTGACATGTGATAGCTTTTACTACCAAGGGGAGATAATCAAAGATTTTACACCCATGACATATTTGTGTTAAAGAGTAAAGAAACATCAAAAGTCCTATCCGGTGCTTCTTGTTTAGGTATTTAGTTAGAAAGGTCATGTACTGTATATGCAGTCTTTTTTAACATGACAGACTGCTGTGTCAGGTCTTCATCATCATTGCCAAAAAACTCTACAATTGTCTATAGCATAAGCTCAGGTCCTTCACATATAAAGAAAAGTTGTCAGTTTCTACTAAATGAAAATCCCAGATTACAATGAAGTGTAAGAGGGTGCTTGATCAAGTTATTACTCTCTTCAATCTATCTGTCTTGTAACTTAGATGTGGACAATTAGACACCTTTGGCATTCATTTATGCAGACAAACTAGTTTTTTGGCACTTAAGTTATAATTTGGGGCAGACCTGCAGAAAAATAGAGGCCCCGAAAGGATTAGTCAAGACTTGTAATAAAGTCAAATAAGATCAGTGTAGGTTTGCCTTTGTTTTGGTCCCAACAGATAAACAAAGACTACCTCGGCCTGTTTTATCTGTAGAATCCTTGAGCAGGGTGCACCTAGGTTATGTAAAAGACAAATGCTGTCATTGACGAAGCATGGCCAGCTTGATTGCTCAAAAGAGTTGTTGCTGATCTCAAAATTGTGAAAAATTAATTAAGAGTACCGTGTACCATTTTAATCATCTAATTGTTTTGTTGTTTGGGGTAATTTTCCTTAACCGATTAATAAATTACCATTATTTGTAAACAAAACTGAGGGAGAGACGGAAATAATATTTCATTTACTTGTAGTCATGTTTATTATAAAAGTTAATCTATGACTTTCCATTAGTTTATAAAAGTACCAAATTCTTCATATCACTGCTAAATACTTCCAGTTATCACTGCATGACTGACTTGCTTCTGAAACCACAGATAGAAAACTATTATTATAAATCATCCCTTTCTTGTAAAACTACCAATGCAGTAAAACTACAAATCGTACATCTGCTGATTTTAGCTTTATTAGTATTGACTTTAAGATTGTTTTCCAACTTTGCCCAATAGACTTAGATATAAATCTCTCATCCCCTTGCTTAATGTATCATCCATTTCTCAATTATTTTTTTTTTGTACAGAAATCCATACAAAGTGCTGATGGGCTTTAATTCATGTAGTTTTAGATATTAACAGTAGATTTGATTCATCCTTTAAATGCCCATAATAGATTATAGTGGAACCCACTCATCGTTTAATGCCAAAGTAGATACTGTTAAACCTTAGAGTAGAATTTTTAGGGAATAAAGTTGTTATCAGATAGTGGTGCCATGTTGTTATTGCTCAGAATGGATTGTAGACAATTCCTACAGCCGATGAGCTAGTCCTGGCGTTCAATTTCAATTTCAAGGATAGTATATTGAATACACATATACATATTATCTTACAGTACCAATAATATTATTGAAGAAACATCAATGGTGTGAGAGTTGTTTGAATCCGAAGTGTCCTGACATCATCAAATTGTCAACACGCTGAGATTTTTTAAAAGAAATATTAATATATCAGCAAGATTTTTATATGTTGAAGCTTACATTTTCCTATTTGTAAAGTTTCTGCCCTTTTTGAGTCTGTCTTGAAAAATGTCGGTTTCATAGCTGATTCTGGCATTGATAAGTCAACAGTTGCTGAATCGTTTTATAAAATATTACGTTTTGTAACAAATCATGATTTCGTGCCATTGAAAAGATGCCTCATATTCATTCTATTGAATCCTAGATTTGTTTCCATTTTTCATTTCATCTGATTATAATTATTACTGTAGATCTGTCACACAACAACTATTGAAGTCAGATTTCCCAATTGTTTAAGTTTGTACATATCGTTAAAAACAGCAAACGGTATTTTAAGGGTGATTCTCTACTTTCTTCTGTAAAGCATAATAGATTTTTCATTTCAGTGGCTGTTTTTTTTCTCTTTTTTCCCCCCATAAATCAGCATGATTGGACAACTGACAAAAATTAAATGATGAAATATTTCAATGACAACATTTAGGAGTAACTTTCATTTGGTGTGTAGTCTAAATGATATGTCACTAAAATTATTTAATCATTTTATATATAGATATATATATTTTTTTCAGTTCAGCAAATAATTTTCATTCCTTAAAAATAGCTTTTTTTCAGTGATCATTATAACTTAGAAAAGCTACCTACCTCTTGAATTGTGCCTCTCTTTAGGATAGACCAATAATAACAAAAAATAGGATTCTGGAATATATTGAAAAAATTTACATATTAAAATCCAATGTTGCACAGTAAAGTCTTTTGCGGACAACTGATGTAGGAATACTTTTGTCATATTCAAATGGATATGATGTTTTGCTATCAAATAGAAGTTGATATTTGACATAAAACCCTGATTGTATGTGAATTTTGGGTAAATTATTTGGTTTTTAAATGTAAATCATGTCTATAGAGCAATTTCCCGGTATCTTCGTGAAATCAGCATTAATATGTTTAGCCTATTGCGAGAACATTTGGCGCTATACATGTAAATATTTTTCCATTGTTTATTTCCATATTAGTATCAGAACATGACATGTGAATCAGAGTTCTTCCACAGAAATTTATGAAAGTATGGTCCTCTGTGGATCATCCTTAAATCAAAATTACAGTTTCTTTTTTCTTTGTGTACAAGCTGTGACTAACCATCAGTATCATTTTCTGCTACTTGGTATATGTATACAATTCAGGAGTTGAAACTTTCATATTTTTTGAGATTTTCAGTCAATATGTGTTCTTCATTTTTTTCAAAATAGTTTTGTAGATCCGTTTTTAAACGTAAGCCATTTATGTATTATCATGGTGGCAAAACATTGTTTCTCTTTTGTTGATATTCAGTCTTATAAATTACTGTCAACATATACTTTTCGATGATGTCTTTAAAACTAATTTTGTAGTATTTCATTAATATGATTGTTTTAAGAAACATATACAAAAACGTCAATCAAATATCTCCCACCCTGTCGATTTACCAGCAGTAGAGGCAAATGACACTTTTATGTTGAATCATGCAGGTAATCTTGGTGCATAACCAGTTCTATAACCATCTACCTGGCTTGAAAATTAAACTGAAGAAAAGACATGGTTATTTCACTACGATGATTTAGAAAGATGAAAAAGAAATTGTATTATGAGTAACTGTAAATATTAATTTGTCAACTGATAACTGATGATTGATTTTATCATTATATATTGCTGGCACACACTTTGTAAATTTTCTGGACAGCTGAATATATGTAGTCACTTGATGAACTCATCATAATGGCAATCATATCTGCTTATTTGCATGATTCTCATGTTTTTGGATTTTTACATAAACAGTCAGAATTATCTACAAGATTTTTGATTTCATGAAAAAAAGAAATGATTTTTCTCATTAAGAGTGAAGCTAGCTGCTGTTTTCATTATTAGGGCCAGACCGATCCCTATCTACAGATCATACATATTCCATGTTTGCACACATTTTATTGTAAATCATGAACATTGAAGGATCAATTATACATGTATATTGTATTTATCTTGTATGTACAATAAACGTGCTTTTATAACCATCATCTTCTCTCGTCTGTTAAAAGTTTTATCGGATAGTTTTGTAATTATGCCAGAAAACTGTAATTTGTCGGCTTGTTAAGGTTTCTTTTCTTTTTGAACCATCAGAAGAAACATCCAGGTAGTTCTGAAATTTGGACTGTAACTTTGACTGACTGAAAAATTCAAGATGGCTGTGATTGATGTCACGTAAATGGTGATTGGAACAACATAACAACAAATGTTTTCAACATCACTTTGTTTATTATGATTCTGACATTTTATCTTCTATTTCATGTACAATATACACACATATATATATATATATACACTTCATATGATATGTACACTATAATCAAAGGAAATTGCTCCTTGGAATGTTTAAATAAATCAGTATATCCTGACCTGGGATGAACTTAACAAGCACATTAGATCATTACAGGATATGTATCATGTCAAACTGCTATACTCTCCTTCTTTGTTAATTTCATTTAAACTAAAAATTGAATTTAAATCATGATGAACCAGAAACAGAAATGAAGAAGGTTAACAGTACACATTTTTCAATAAATATGGAACACTTAAATAATTATACACGATACCCGACACAAAATCTTGCAACCAAATTTAAAGAAGAAAGAGATGTACAATGGCAAGTTTGCATAGGAAAAGTTAAACAGAAAAGATGGATACAAAAGTTAGAAAGAAAAGTTGTGTAGTAAAGTAATTCATATACATGATAAAACAGTAAATCCGTTTTGATCTGGTCCTGAAAACTTCCAGAAAAGTCTTCAGACAGTCAGTCCAGTAACCATCTTACACTTTCATGGCCCTGAAATTCGAGATTACATGCAATGCCTTCAGCGTCTACTTCACACAACGCATCTGATGCCTTCAGAGTGTCAACATCCTTGTAAACATTTGATGCATCTTAAATCATGGTATCCAGACCAAAAAGGTTTCACTGTTTCAGAAATATATCACAGATAAATTCATATTGAAACTAATATTATAAGTGGCATTAATAATGAAAACAAAATCCATCTCCAGTTTTTACACAAGTCGACAGGTGTCACACACAGGTTCACACACAAACTAATAGCTACCATACACAGGTATACACATGAGTTGACAGGTGTTGTACACAAGTACACACATGAGTTGACGGATGTTATTCACAAGTATACACATGAGTTGACAGGTCTTGTACACATGAGTTGACAGGTGTAATACACAAGTATACACATGTTGACAGGTGTCATACACACGTATACACATGTTGACAGGTGTCGTACACAAGTATACACATGTTGACAGGTGTTGTACACAAGTATACACATGTTGACAGCACATGTTGACAGGTGTCGTACACAAGTATACACATGTTGACAGGTGTCGTACACAAGTATACACATGTTGACAGGTGTCGTACACAAGTATACACATGTTGACAGGTGTTGTACACAAGTATACACGTGTTGACAGGTGTCATACACACGTATACACATGTTGACAGGTGTTGTACACATGATTTGATAGGTGTTGTACACAAGTATACACATGAGTTGACAGGTGTCTTACACAAACAAGTTGACCAATCTTTTGTTATGCTGAGATTCTCTGTAATTCTAATCACCTAAATCTTCCATTAAAACCTTCTCGCAATTCTGCCAGTCCATACAAGGCCAGTAAAACAAGGACAGTCCATACAAGGCCAGTAAAACAAGGACAGTCCATACAAGGCCAGTAAAACAAGGACAGTCCATACAAGGCCAGTAAAACAAGGACAGTCCATACAAGGCCAGTAAAACAAGGACAGTCCATACAAGGCCAGTAAAACAAGGACAGTCCATACAAGGCCAGTAAATCAAGGACAGTCCATACAAGGCCAGTAAATCAAGGACAGTCCATACAAGGCCAGTAAATCAAGGACAGTCCATACAAGGCCAGTAAATCAAGGACAGTCCATACAAGGCCAGTAAAACAAGGACAGTCCATACAAGGCCAGTAAATCAAGGACAGTCCATACAAGGCCAGTAAATCAAGGACAGTCCATACAAGGCCAGTAAATCAAGGACAGTCCATACAAGGCCAGTAAAACAAGGACAGTCCATACAAGGCCAGTAAAACAAGGACAGTCCATACAAGGCCAGTAAATCAAGGACAGTCCATACAAGGCCAGTAAATCAAGGACAGTCCATACAAGGCCAGTAAAACAAGGACAGTCCATACAAGGCCAGTAAATCAAGGACAGTCCATACAAGGCCAGTAAATCAAGGACAGTCCATACAAGGCCAGTAAAACAAGGACAGTCCATACAAGGCCAGTAAATCAAGGACAGGCCAGTAAATCAAGGACAGTCCATACAAGGCCAGTAAAACAAGGACAGTCCATACAAGGCCAGTAAATCAAGGACAGTCCATACAAGGCCAGTAAATCAAGGACAGTCCATACATGGCCAGTAAAACAAGGAGAGTGTCAATGCTCCAGACTTCACACATTCAGTTCACAATACATAAGGAGTGTTAAGAATACACTTGAAACACACAGTCCATTATTTCATGATTAAATGATAACATGTGAAAATCACATTTTTCCCTTCTGATGTAATATTGCAGTTTTTGTATAGATAAGAATCTTTTATACACAATCTCAGCCACTCAAGTCTATCCAAGGATACAGAATCTGAACATCTCTCACATCACTAATGAATATTCCTCATTTCAATTACATGAATATTCAATCAGGTAAAATCTAATTCTTTGAGTTTCTTAAGTAGAAATTTCGGCCCATGAATGAAAAATATATTTAACTTACACATACAGTAATGGAGAAAAGCACAGGGACAAGATTTGTTGTAAGTGACTGTCAATTATCATCATCCAAGTTTATAAATATTCAACACCTTATACTGAATCATTTGTTTGTATAAACTTGAGCAAAGAAGCTTAAGATAGGTTCTACATACTAGTTACTGGTACAGTTGTAAGCTACATACTAAATCCTAAATATACCATTTGATTATACCTCGTTATATACTTCCTAAATATAAGGCAAGTCTGAATTTTCTTTTGAAACAGAAACTCGGACCACTAAATACAGTATAAATATCATTTTCTTTTAGTCAAGCAAAAACTGCATTATTTGTTTCTAAATAAAATACAACCTAACTACAAACCCAGTCATTGATTTAATTTTCACAGGGTCAGGATTACCCAGCATGTTAAGGGCTATTCCAATAAAACATCTATCCCATTCCAGGACTCATGGTTTTGTTTAGAGTTATTCAAGGAAAACATCCATCTCACTCCAGGACCCACAGAATTCAATTGATAATTGATAATTTACTAAGAATAGACAGGAATGTGAGCCATAGATAAAAAGAGATTTATTTTGAAGTCCTGAGATCAGGTAGATCATTTTTCTGAATAGTTTGTAGGATTTCTTTATACCTTACCATTCATGTCTTTTTCCCACAGATACATACAAATATGACACACTGAACTTATAAAATGTGTAGAACAAAATGCACCAATCATGTCTATATATTTCTGACACAATAGAATAAAGACTGACCTTGAAGCCATTGTAAACCAAAGTTCACAAAGTTATTCTCACCAAATTACAAGACATTTGAACACAATGATTTTCCTTCAGTTTTCATCTCAATCAGATCACTATATATAAATACATATCACTTTCATACACATAATGTTCGTCCATTTAAAATCATCACAATGACAAAAATTACATTATAGATGGTAGATGGCGTTGGTCTTGAAATCTTTGAGACGTGATTTTTAAAATGTAAGCCAATGATATTTCAATCTGTCTTGAAAATGTCATGACACAATCTTGATACTGATAAAAGAAGTGAACAGATATCTGCTATTTCAGCTACTGGAGATATTTTTGGAACTTGAACCGGCTTCTAAACAAAAGAAACCGATTTGAAAAAATGAACTGGTGACATTTTAAAAACATTTACAACTTAAATCCAAATGAACTGATTGCTTACAAATTTTTCCCAAAAATACATGCTGAAGTAAGAGAAAGTCCCTTCACATGATATTATAACATACACATTATGTTCCTGACACCTGTCAGTCTAAAGGTGATGAATCATATCGTTTATCAGCCAAACTTCGACCGAACTAAAGAAATAATACAGAAATAAGAAGACTGTATTGAGAAATCTATGCTCTGAGCTTCTCTTGGTTCCTGACACAGACGACCAAGCAGCTGATCTATGTAATTCCTACACGCCTTAAATCATAGAGTGACAGACAGAGCATATCCTGGCTGGTAGATTTCTTCCTACCCTATAGTCCTTATGCTAGTGAGCTGGCCTGGACCTGTGTAATCTGATTCATCAAACTGAACTTTTCTCTCTAAGACTTTACACAGCCTTGATTGGCGAGCTGGCCTGGAATTGACTGTACAGCCTTGATTGGCGAGCTGGCCTGGAATGGACTACACAGCTTTGATTGGCGAGCTGGCCTGGAATTGACTAAGTGTATACTGGTTCTCCATGGCAATCTCTTCCTGTAGAATGATACTTCTCTGCTGTAGAGAGTTCACCTGAGACTTCAGCGACTCAATGGTGTCCTCAAGTTCCTGTAAATATTAAAGATTACATTGATAACCATAGATACAACAAAGGTTCCTCACTCTTCATTTGTTTGTTGGGTTTGTTGCCTCAGAAACAGTGGTGGCTACCTCACTGAATATGATGTGGGAGGTCAGTCACATGCTAGTCAGAGCAAACAAGATGGAGTATCTTTCCCAGGGATACAACCACACCAGCAGAGGTCATAACAAGGTTACAAGTTAGAAAAATGACAGTTCAGCTTAAAATGATAATCTCTGATACAATTTTCCTTCCTGGATCTTTAAAAGAGAAAGAAAACTGTACACACCTGTCTCACAGAGAGGGACATCATTCCTCTCATCTTCTCCTCATAGGCAAGCTTCAAATGGGTCATCTGTAACAACAGAAAGAGGAGGTAATATATTAATATTAATTATAGAAAATTCTGAAATAAAGCAGGCAATGCTGAAAATTAAAATGGAAATGTGATGAATACCACATACAGCTACAACAGTGTGCAAATAAACCTTTTATAAAGTAAACTCAGGACTCGATATTGCTACATAATGAGAATTTCCATTGTTCACTCTGCAGCAACAGAAAATATTGTATTATACGGTGAAATTGCTGACAAATAGCTCTAACACAAGGTAATGTGCCTCCTTAACATCATTAAAATCTGTATCAAATGGTGTAAAATGACATTGTAAATTTGTAATAAATATAACAAGATGACTACTCTCAGATATAAAGCAGTTTCCATGAGATGTTCACCTTTTCTTCAAAGTCTGATTCCTGCTGGTCCAGTCGACGCTCAAGTGTCCTGACACGGTTCTGTTGAGATTCCAATTCTTTCTGGAGACTCTGTAACACCCAGACAGATGTATTAACACATTACTTAAATTTTTTTCTCATCATAATGTTTCCAGAGGGTATAGGAGGGAGAATTTTGAATCTTAAATTGTCCACTGACAGTCGGTGAAGACTGAAAAGAATTAAGACTCTTTGGTGACAATATCTATGCCAGAAGGTTATAATATTAGTTGGCATAGCTTACATATGGTAAATTAATTACCAGGTACACAATCGTTTTACAGAGAATTCAACACAGGAAGTATTTATCACTAATTCTCCATTTCAAAAACTACCCAATTTTCCTTTATTTAATTTGTGAAATTTTTTATCTCTAACATAATTTTAGTTGTATACACTATATTCTTTTAAATGAAAATGTTGGTTTAGCTTCTGGGTCTTTCATGTCTAGAAGACAAAAATATGACAAAATCGAACACATGTACAACATCAACCCAATGAAGCATTTTCTCCTGAATCCACACTGCTGTTGATTCAGAAAAGTCACACATCAACTACAAAGAATGAACATTCAGTAGACAAAACACAACACATGTTATTCATCAGAAACCCAAAACCATATCATGTCTCCTGAAAAGCAATCCACTTCAATGACTAGAGTGTTAATTCACTACAACAGTTATATCTCTACACATATACATCATCCTATGTATCTCTGGGTCAAGCTTGAAATGTCTGTATGTTTCATGTTTTATCATTAAAACGAGAAAATGTCTGTTAGACAAGAATGCTCTCAAGCTTGTAAGTATCCCTGTTTGATGAAACTATTGAAGTTGCCAAATATGACCTTGGCTCTCTAACCTTGACACATTTATATAAGTTGTTGATTTGTTTGTACATTTGCTGTGTTTATCACCCTGTGAACAGTCAGGGTCATTCTGAGACAGGGTCTCCTTGTAGTAGCTGCTGGCTAACACAGTGAACCACATATAGGAGGCCCATCATACTCTCCAGAGCAATCATGGTCATGGGTCTTATCTAAAGACACAACCATGACAACATAGACCAGTCTGTTACTCAACTTGCTGTGAAAGATAAAGTGCCATTGGAAGTGTTGAACCATACACCTCAGATCTTATCAGAGTTTATATATGTCAACACTAGCCAACTAAGCGGTGTGCAGTCCATTGATAAATTGTCAAACTTGATACTAGGATAATATGGAATAAATATGAACAAAATTTATAGAGAAGTTCTCAAGATCAGATTGATTCTAAATGTCATGTGGCAAGACAGGACAGGATACGGATGTTGGACAGACATAAAATGACAACAGAAAAATGTTTTGAATATTGTGTGCTATGTTACTTATCATAAGGAATGCCTGTTTGATGTGTTAAATCTATTATAAGGTTTACATTGTAACTATGACATATCAACATTTACATTCCAATCATTTGGTTCTCTATTTGAAAAGGCTATACAATGAGCCAGAAATCTAGAGAGTCCTACTTTGGACCTGTCCTTAACTACCGTATATCACTTATTTTCAGCTACACATACTTCTCTACGAAGCCACTCAAGGACACACTCCATGCAGAAACAGCACCACGTCACAAACAAAGGATTATTAGATTCCAGGTCCATACAGGACATTTCTCTCACTTCAGATTTAATATAATAATTACTACAAGTGATCTCTGATAGATGTATTTGTATGATGGAGGGTCTAACTTATATAAATCTGGAAAGCATGGTTCCAACTACAGTCAAAGTAAAGGCTTTGACTACAAGAGTTCAGTGAGTGTTAATAACAGACACGCGATGTTACCCAGCTCCAGGCCTTAGCCCAAGCCTCCTGGGATTCCAATTCTGTTTGTAGATTCTGTAATATAAACCTATACACTTAATTCTGCTACAGTCAATTTCTTCCCCTGATTAAGCCCATTCACATTGAAAGTACATAGATATCTTATTAACGTCTCCACTCCAATAACAAATGCAGTAGAGATAAAAAGGCAGCTAGTATATCTTAGACAGTCAAAGTTATTCATCCATGATCACAGTTCTAAAGTTCAAGGTCACCTATAAGTCCATTCAAGGTCACCTATTTCTAAATTTACTAGAAAGTCACAATGTCAAATGTTGAAAGTCTAAAACTACAACAAGATCAGATCAAGACAGTTAAAACTCACTACAAAGTAGATGAAGTTCAAGGTCAAGTTTTCTACATTATGGTAACTAAGATTTAAGGTCAACTAAGTTCAAGGTAACCAGAAGGTTGCAAAAAAAAAAAATGTCTACAGTCTTAATCTACTACAACATCAGGCAAGATAGTTCAATGTCATTACAAAATAGATAAAATTCAAGGTCAAACCAGTTGAAGTTTACTGCATTATGCTCATTAACTTCAAGGTCACTAGAAGTTCACTAGAGTTCAAAGCTAAAATGAAAAGCAGATTCACATTTTTAATGAATTTATTTCATGTTTTTTTTTTTTTTGCTAAAATTAGATCAGCAAAGAGAGTGTATCATGATTAACTTTGTGTCCAAGAATTAGTGTATTGTTTGCACTTCATCAAAGACTTACCTGCACAATAGTGAACAGAAGTGTTTCAAGTGTCAGTAAGAGGTGACATTTAAACATTCATAAATATTAAAATGAAAGTTAGAGAATAATGATGTAGGATTTATTATACATATACCCCTTCACCAGAATGTTATCATGATCCCAACATTAAATCATTAAAACAGGACTTTATACTTCCACACTCACAACAATAAATGTTATAATGTGTCCACAAGATCAACAAGAAATTATTTCTAAATTCATGAAATTTGCTCAACAAATATAAAATTTCCTCTTGGCTTAATAAAGGTTTAATATCAGTAAGTGTCTAAATATTGTTCCCTGTTGTCTTCTTATGGAGACAACCCTGTCTAGATGTTGTTCCTAGTTATCTCCCCTTATTGAAATCACATCTCCCTTTTTTGTCATTATACTTTCGGTATAAACTTTGTTCCTAGTTATCTCCCCTTATTTAGATCACATCTCTCTTTACTGTCATTATACTCCCTGTTTAAACATTTAGTTTCCAGTTATCTCCCCTTATTGATCATGTCTCTTTACTAAAGAAATAGAAAGTCTCTCTAATGATGCTCCCTATTTCAAATAAAAAATTGACTCTAATTATGTTCCCTATCTAACAAAAATGTCCAATTATCTACCCTTACCTACCAACCACTCAGTTACCTGCCCTTACCTCAACATTGTTACTGTACTGCCTTTTGATGTACTTGGTTTCTTCCTGGTATTTTGTGTTGGAGTCATGTATCTTTTTCTCACTTCCTTCCTGTACCCTACACAATAAAACAGGCTATTTCAAACTCTGAATTCCTTTATACCAATTCAATTGACAATACTCATATTTCTTATTTTGACAAAATACACAAGAATTTTTTCTGATATCAAGACTGTCTACAATATATTTTTCACAAATCTAGTCAAACTGTGCAGCAAATACTTTCATTCATTGGAAGTTATGCTGTAATTATTTCCTATAATATCTATTCAATATGTCTAAATACCTTTTAACTTCCTCTCTCAGATGGTTGCATGTTGCTTGTAGTTCTGCTATTGTCTGTAATACAAAGATTTGAAATAAAAATTGACCTGAAACTTCACTGGTTGACCCAGGAAAGACTAGATCTGCCAACCTGAACTTATGGTATCAATTGATCTCTCAATAAGATGACTCGTAGATTTAAGGATTTCAAGTAAACATTTCTGAGTTTTCTCTTAAGGTATCACTTCTGGTTTGTCTATTATAGTTACTTGCCTGAGTAATTTTACACTGTTTTTATAGAAAAAAATACGTTTTTCTGCATATTCCTTAAATTTTTTTTGTATTAAATTTTTCTTGTCAGACTATAATATTCACTTTTTCTACAAAGTCAAAACCAGCTCAGCCCCATCACAGCAACACTTCTGTCCACACAGCCACTTACCTCTGTAGACTTCTTCTACACAAACAATTACATCTGTAGACTTCTATCCACACAAATATTTACCTCTGTAGCCTTTTGTCCTCTCTGCATGTGCTCTTTTTCAATATCTTTCAATCTCCCATTTGTCTGAGGAAAGAAAAGTTAAAAACCTATAAAAGATGATTTCCAACCTGACAGAAAACCTGACTGAATTGTATAAAATTAGAGTGGTAGACAGTCATTCCAGGACAATGACAACCAAATAGATCTGATCTAACAATAGGGCATGGAGTGGAATAATCCTGCAACATACAAACCTTCTCCAGCATCTTTTCCATCTCTGTGCTATGATTTTTCTGTAATTCCAGTCTCTGTTGCTCCATCTCGGATCTCAGTCTTGCCAGCTGAAGAAGATATATTGAAGATTACTTAATTTATTAACTAATGTTTTACAGTTGGTTTCAAATCTGCACACCTCTAATTCTAGAAATATTGTCTTTAAACCTTGACTAGTTACAGTGTTGTCTCACTGAAATATCAGTTAATATGGGATATCAGTGGACTACATACCTCAGATTCTTGTTCCCTCTGCATCTTTTGTTTCTCCTCCTCCCTCAGCAGACCAAGCTCCACCAACTGCTGCTTGCGTAGCTGATTTGCCTGCACTATTTCTTCTCTCAGGTCTTGATTCTGTCGCTCAACACCAGATATTTTCTGTAAAAGTATAACCAAACAAAATGTCTTCAACAATGTCTTCTATTTACCTTTAAGTTGCCAACGTAAAATACAATATTGTAGAAATGTAGGATTTTCTTGTTTTTTAACTGAGTCAGCTATTACATAGTCATCAGATTGTATTGGTAACATGAATGCAATCTACCTGACTGAATATTAGTATAACATTAAAATATCATGATTTTTTTTTTCACCCAGTTTGCATTCACACTGACATTAAATGCTATCTGATGACCATTCAACAGTTTATATTACTTTTCTGATATCAGTTTAGAATAATTAACATATCAATTAATCCAGATCATGTAGATTTTTTTCTTTGCATGTTTTTTTTAATGGGAGAGCATCTTGAAAATTATACTCCTGTGAATAATTCACTTAAAGCAACAATGTGCGTTAACTTATGTTATCTTCTATTGGTTTACATATTAACGGTCAGTGTTCATCAGTGAATGTTGAGTTAAAAAAAAAATCTTTCAATGTGTTTAATGTGAATTGTACTATTGTAACTGTTTCATATTGGAGATGGCTTAATATAAGATTTATAATCTTGTTGCCAGATCCATTTTCAATTTCATAATTTGTGTATGTGTATGTTGTAAATTAAAATCTGAAAATAAAATATTGTTTAAACCAATGTGCGTTATCTGAGGTGACTTAGATAGCACTGACATAACAAAGGGCAACACTGCCTCATCATTTAGATTGTATCTACACTCCTGTGAATACAGTCAATTTTGGCACAGTAAAAATTTTGAGTTATATCAATTTTGGACAAATTAATGATAAATTATTTCTTAATCAAGTGCAATGACCACAGTTTTATTTTATATCTTGATAATTTATGAGCAAATAGCTCTAAATAAGAATATATGTAGGCTAACAGTAAAGTCAAGAATGGGAGGCCATAATTCACAATGAAAATATTTGTATGAGTGAAAGAATTTTACACAGCAATATGCATCTCTTCTTCACTATTCTATTCTAATCTATCCTGTCTAGAGTTGTTTTTGTTATTGAAATAGTAGAAACAAGTGTGTTTGATTCTAAATGCACTGACTTTGGCATCACGGTCGGTGCGTTCACGCATCCTTGTATCAAGGTCATAGAGCTCAGACTGGTGGTTTTCTTTGAGGTCCTGAAAGTCTTTCTCGTGCTGAGAAAGGACCATTTCCTTCTGTTTGTGAAAGTCTTGTAACATCTGAGCCTTGTCATGTTCCAGCGTCAACTTCAGCTCCACCATCTAAAAAGAAGTGGATTCTACTTGTATGCATAGGACTAGGAACTTTTTAATGATACAATTAACAAAACAATGACACATATCCAGATGAAAAAAAACCTCAGTTAAGTAACTCCCAAAGAACCAATGCCCTACCAGCTTCATGTGTGGCGTTGTTTATCTGCTAGGTTTCAGGATACCAAGTGGTTAGCAGGGTCCTCTTCAGTAAAGTAGATCTAATAAATCTATCTATATATCTATCTTAAACAATGATATGTTTACCATTCAGGTACTGAAAAACTTTATTCCTCTAGAAAACAATTTCAAATAATTGTTTTATATTTAATTCTGTAATAAAAAATGTTTCATATGGTGCTATTGAAAACATTCAACTACCTGTTCATCTGGAAATAATTCAGTAAAATCACTAAACACTTTGAAGTCTACAAGGTGTTTTACCTGTCGCTCATGCTGAGCCCGTTCATCTTCCAACTGTTTGTTGAATTCACGGGCTTGTCTCTCACGGGCCTGTTTGGATTTGTTCAGATCTGTCTCTACCCTCTCCATCTACCAAAACAACAAACATACTAGGTTTTATACCTGTAGAAATACTATAAATGAAATGTATTATGTTTAATATAACATGAAAATTTAAATTGATAATGATTATAATTTCTGAAATGAATCTAAATGTGACACATTTATAGATTTCAATGAGCTTTAGAATACCACCACCTCTCTCTGTCAACACCTTCAAAACTTTGCCCATTGTGCCAAATTTGAAATATAAAACTTGAAAATCCATATACATGTCTCTTTTGCAGTAAACTAATTTCAAAATTTGGCCAGGAAATTTAGTTTTTTCTCCCATTTTGTTTTTTCAATATAACATGGTATTAGCTGTTCATACCTGCTGTTTCATTTCGTTGTACATGCGATCCTGATTTTTCTCTACTTGACCTTTGAACTCCTCCAGAGCTTTTTCTGCTTGTTGTGATTGTTGAGTATTCTTGTCTGTTAATTTCTTGATCTCATCATCTTTCTCTCTGTGCATAAATCAGTAACAGGTAAAACACATAATCCCACTTTGTGGATCACATAGGGAATCTTCCACATGTTGTTACATCCTACCACTCATCAAATACTCAGTCAAACTCAACGAGTTGCTAGATACATTTCTGTAGGTTTATATATATATATATATACATGTAAGTTTGAAAAATATTTTTCCTTCATTAGGAAATGTAAGTTATATATATCACAGCAGAGATATGTCATTTTTCTGATGTGTACTGAAACTTTATTTATGCTTCAATTATTCACACCTTTAAATGTGATCCCGCAAATAAATGTCCCAACGGTACAGCAATAGTAATCCCTTTAAGATGAAAGTATTGGTTTAAGATGTTTACATGACTAATATGGTAAGTTTTCTTCAAAATTTTGTGAAAATTTGGTAACAAAAGAAACCCCCATATATTGCTCTACATAATGCTCAAGGGTTTACAAAACTCGTAACAAGAAAAAAATCCTTCCATTTTTCATTAAATCAAATTGCTTAAACATAAAATTTATCTTGTATGATATATCGTGAATAGAATGGGATCCTATATCAGACTTTACCTTACTGTCTGGTCCAGTTTCTTAATCTTTTTCTGAAAGTCCTGTTCCATTTGTTCTGTCTCCAACTTCATAGCTCTTGTCTGAAAAATATATAAAGATACTACATCTCACAGTAACAATGATCTAAAATCTTTGATAAATTAGAAGATATAACTCATTCCCAAAAAGTTTTTATATCACAAGAAAATAATGTTTTAATGTGTTGCTTTTTCCTGAAACTGTCACATACTCCAAATAGATTTACTCATTATGGTCTATAACTTCAGAGGAAAGAGAAGTCTGAAGGAAAAAGTAAACTACAACAGAAAAAAAAGAAAAGATTTCAAAAATACTTAACCAAAAAGCAGCTAAAAAGCTTACAGGATTTTTTTATATGGCTGTAATTTTAAAAAAAAAGCTGGTACATAAATAACTGAAGGTTAAGATAACTGGACCGGCAAAAAAATGTTATATGGGAGATGAGGTTATGAAGAGTAAATATTAAAGAATATTAAGGAAGGACCAAATGATCTGTTCAAATTTTAAGTTGTTGTTCAATCATAACTGGATTTCACTACATTAACGAAATGCTGAAAAGTGTTAGGATGGAAATGATGATTCAAGGTATTTGTATGAAGAATCAGTCAGTGAAAAAAGAAAAAAAAATCCAGATAGGTTACAGATAAATAGTTAAAAGGTAATTCAGTCTTCATGGTGAAAAAATAGACGACAAAAAGAAATTCTATTAATAACGGTAAATTATTATTAGAAGCCCAATTCAATGGAAAATAAATAAAGGTTTTGAATTGTTGCCAAATAAACACTACAAGCAAAAAGCAACCAACATAGGGATGTCTGTCTCCAGACATTGTGGCAAGGTAACCTTGTTGGTATGGATGACGAGAATCTCCTTGGAGAAGGTCCTCACTTGGGTGCGTAGAACTGGGAATACACTCCACTAAAAGTGTAATGGACGAAATGCTAATAGGCTTTGACCAATATTCATTTGTATAGCTACATAGACTTTCAAATTCTTGTGTTTTATTTGGGGAGACAAGTACAATTATGACCATTTTTTTGTGGTTTTTTGGTGTCACATGGAATCAAAAGCAGATTTTCATTTTGATATTTCCAAAAACCATCTGATGGTGTTTTTTGAAAAAAGGCAAAACAAAAAATAAAACAAAACAAAACCCAAAAAAATCCCCACAAGATCTCTGTTATATTAGAAATTAATAGACAATTTCATTAGGAAATTAAACTAAGACCAAAATCATCAATCAAGAATGTTTCAAAGGAGAAAAAAATTAAAGAAAAATATCTTTAAAACATATTAGGGAGACCAACTCTGTTTAAATAAATAAGTATATCATAAACATTTATCATAAATTAAAACCAGTTACCCTAGTTTTTACTTTCGATTTTACATTTTTTCAAAATCCTATCTCAACTGAAACATTTAGTTTTAATTGAATACTTATGCAATATCATACACAGCTAAAAATTAATTTTTTTTTCAACCAAAAATTATCCATTCAATCTTTGAAAATCATAATTGCTTGGGTTTTCAATAAAATAAAACACCTGACATTAATCCCGCACTCAATTTTTCTGATTAATTCTATAAGTGTAGGCTTTATACACCACTTTGATGGTTTGGATAGAAAATAATGAGGAAAACCGGTCCAGCTAAAGTATTAGAGCCACACCACTGATTTATCACTGTATATAATACCGGAGACAGTCGATGAGCTGACTGACCTGTTTGTCGTGGAGATTCTCCATGTGGATCTTGTCTTGTTGTTGTACTTGTTCCATTTCCTGATGAAAAAAAAAAACTAAATTTTTAATTCATCCATGATCAAATGCAGTAATAAAAACTAAATAGGAAAAGGTGCCCCCCCCCCCCCCCCCCCACACACACACACGCCATTACAATTTTTTTTTGTTTTTGTTTTGTTTTCTAAATATAGGTATGTATAGAGCAGTTTTAAAGAAATGGTTCTTCATGAAATTTAAGAAGACTTGATCATTTTGTTGGATTAGACAGAGTTACAGAAAACCTCCTGAATTATGTTTTGAATCCCGACTGTCCTTTATATTAAGAAAAGACTTGCAGAGAGTTGATCGTTAGGTTTGACATAACAGTGTCAGAAAACGACAACTAGACATCATCCCACAAATTCCTTTAAATTTCTCAGAAACAAACTAGATTATGTCCTGAATCATCCAGAAAATCTCTGCTGTCCTCTCCAGCTGTTGTCCCTGGGCCATCAGAGACAACACTGTAAGAATAACCTGGTGTCTGTCGCAGGACTACTTACTCTTACTTGTCTCTGTCGCTGTTCCTCAGCATCCTTCAGAGCTCGCTTCAACTGGTCCACATGATTGTCTAACTCAGAAATGTTGTCCCCAGCCTAAACAATTATGCAGTCAAACAGTTTTCAACAAGGTCAAACCTCAATTCCAAATAAAAATCATAAAATATTTTAGAAAACTTAATATTAAAGACAAAAATATTATTAGATGCATCCATGTTCAAATTTACAAAATTAAAACCACAAAGTTCTTCTTTTTCTCAGCATTTAAAGAGTGGAGTAAGAAAGACTAAAGAGTATAAACAACTGTTTACCTTTGCTGCAGCAATGTTGTGTTCTTGTTTCATAAACTCCAGACTAGCTTCCATTTTGTTTTTCAGAGTCCTCATCTCTTGGTCATTTACCTCTATAGTCCTCTGATGTTCCTTCTCCAGATTTGTATATCTACAACAGATTTGTTACGTTGTTAAATTAAGAATAAATCTTATACATGGTAGTAATACTGGATCAATTATCATTCCTATATATGATTTTTTTTCATATTCTATATTTATATATATCTTTTTAAATATTTTTTTTGGTTAGGATTCATTCACTGTAACTGTTTAAGATAATTAAAGAAGCATCAACAGTGATTTCACTGTAGAGGATTGACCAGATATCACAAACATAGAAATAAAGATGATGGATAAATCATCCAGCGATGAAGCTAAGATACATACCATATTGTGATACATTACAGACTATGAAATTGCAGTTAAAGATGATGGACTGTAAAACACATCCTCTTTCTCAGTTATAAATGACAGACTCCTGACATTTCTTACTTTTCTCTCATATCTCTGAAGTCAGCTGTCAGGCGATCCAATTTACTGTCGAGATCCATCTTCTCTCGTTCCACAGCATTTCTTGCCTTGGCTGTCTGGTCCACCTCAGACATGAGGATCTGTAGGCGATTCTCTAGCTCCTTGATGACTGCCGACTACAAAAGTAAACATTACAATGTTGAACCTTGCCCACCAGATATCCTAAAGTACACATCAGAATGTTGAACCTTGCCCACCAGATATCCTAAAGTACACACCAGAATGTTGAACCTTGCCCACCAGATATCCTAAAGTACACATCAGAATGTTGAACCTTGCCCAGCAGATATCCTAAAGTACACATCAGAATGTTGAACCCTGCCCACCAGATATCCTAATGTACACATCAGAATGTTGAACCTTGCCCACCAGATATCCTAAAGTACACATCAGAATGTTGAACCTTGCCCACCAGATATCCTAAAGTACACATCAGAATGTTGAACCTTGGCCATCAGATATCCTAAAGTACACATCAGAATGTTGAACCTTGCCCAGCAGATATCCTAAAGTACACATCAGAATGTTGAACTTTGCCAACCAGATATCCTAAAGTACACATCAGAATGTTGAACCTTGCCCACCAGATATCCTATGTACACATCAGAATGTTGAACCCTGCCCACCAGATATCCTAAAGTACACACCAGAATGTTGAACCCTGCCCACCAGATATCCTAAAGTACACACCAGAATGTTGAACCCTGCCCACCAGATATCCTAAAGTACACATCAGAATGTTGAACCTTGCCCACCAGATATCCTATTTACACATCAGAATGTTGAACCTTGCCCACCAGATATCCTAAAGTACACATCAGAATGTTGAACCTTGCCCACCAGATATCCTAAAGTACACATCAGAATGTTGAACCCTGCCCACCAGATATCCTATTTACACATCAGAATGTTGAACCTTGCCCACCAGATATCCTAAAGTACACATCAGAATGTTGAACCTTGCCTACCAGATATCCTAAAGTACACATCAGAATGTTGAACCTTGGCCATCAGATATCCTAAAGTACACATCAGAATGTTGAACCTTGCCCAGCAGATATCCTAAAGTACACATCAGAATGTTGAACCTTGGCCATCAGATATCCTAAAGTACACATCAGAATGTTGAACCTTGCCCACCAGATATCCTAAAGTACACATCAGAATGTTGAACCTTGCCCATCAGATATCCTAAAGTACACATCAGAATGTTGAACCCTGCCCAGCAGATATCCTAAAGTACACATCAGAATGTTGAACCCTGCCCACCAGATATCCTAAAGTACACATCAGAATGTTGAACCCTGCCCACCAGATATCCTAAAGTACACATCAGAATGTTGAACCTTGGCCATCAGATATCCTAAAGTACACATCAGAATGTTGAACCCTGCCCACCAGATATCCTATGTACACATCAGAATGTTGAACCCTGCCCACCAGATATCCTAAAGTACACATCAGAATGTTGAACCCTGCCCACCAGATATCCTAAAGTACACATCAGAATGTTGAACCCTGCCCACCAGATATCCTAAAGTACACATCAGAATGTTGAACCCTGCCCACCAGATATCCTAAAGTACACATCAGAATGTTGAACCCTGCCCACCAGATATCCTATGTACACATCAGAATGTTGAACCCTGCCCACCAGATATCCTAAAGTACACACCAGAATGTTGAACCCTGCCCACCAGATATCCTAAAGTACACACCAGAATGTTGAACCCTGCCCACCAGATATCCTAAAGTACACATCAGAATGTTGAACCTTGCCCACCAGATATCCTATTTACACATCAGAATGTTGAACCTTGCCCACCAGATATCCTAAAGTACACATCAGAATGTTGAACCTTGCCCACCAGATATCCTAAAGTACACATCAGAATGTTGAACCCTGCCCACCAGATATCCTATTTACACATCAGAATGTTGAACCTTGCCCACCAGATATCCTAAAGTACACATCAGAATGTTGAACCTTGCCTACCAGATATCCTAAAGTACACATCAGAATGTTGAACCTTGGCCATCAGATATCCTAAAGTACACATCAGAATGTTGAACCTTGCCCAGCAGATATCCTAAAGTACACATCAGAATGTTGAACCTTGGCCATCAGATATCCTAAAGTACACATCAGAATGTTGAACCTTGCCCACCAGATATCCTAAAGTACACATCAGAATGTTGAACCTTGCCCATCAGATATCCTAAAGTACACATCAGAATGTTGAACCCTGCCCAGCAGATATCCTAAAGTACACATCAGAATGTTGAACCCTGCCCACCAGATATCCTAAAGTACACATCAGAATGTTGAACCCTGCCCACCAGATATCCTAAAGTACACATCAGAATGTTGAACCTTGGCCATCAGATATCCTAAAGTACACATCAGAATGTTGAACCCTGCCCACCAGATATCCTATGTACACATCAGAATGTTGAACCCTGCCCACCAGATATCCTAAAGTACACATCAGAATGTTGAACCCTGCCCACCAGATATCCTAAAGTACACATCAGAATGTTGAACCCTGCCCACCAGATATCCTAAAGTACACATCAGAATGTTGAACCCTGCCCACCAGATATCCTAAAGTACACATCAGAATGTTGAACCTTGCCCACCAGATATCCTATGTACACATCAGAATGTTGAACCTTGCCCACCAGATATCCTAAAGTACACATCAGAATGTTGAACCCTGCCCACCAGATATCCTATGTACACATCAGAATGTTGAACCTTGGCCACCAGATATCCTATGTACACATCAGAATGTTGAACCTTGCCCACCAGATATCCTAAAGTACACATCAGAATGTTGAACCCTGCCCACCAGATATCCTAAAGTACACATCAGAATGTTGAACCTTGGCCACCAGATATCCTAAAGTACACACCAGAATGTTGAACCCTGCCCACCAGATATCCTATGTACACATCAGAATGTTGAACCTTGGCCACCAGATATCCTATGTACACATCAGAATGTTGAACCTTGGCCACCAGATATCCTAAAGTACACACCAGAATGTTGAACCCTGCCCACCAGATATCCTATGTACACATCAGAATGTTGAACCTTGGCCACCAGATATCCTATGTACACATCAGAATGTTGAACCTTGGCCACCAGATATCCTAAAGTTCAATGGTGACAGAGAGTTCTTTTTGCCAACAGATCACTAGAGAGACATCACAAATTAATAGTATGTCAATGCCAACTGGCATAAACGTCTGCAATGTTTCCATTGAAGATATTTCTCTGCAATCTCAGAGTTCACACCAACTGTATAAAAAAACTGTTTATTTTGGTGGTAATCATATACTGGCACTTTCACATTTATACTGCATTATGATGACAGTGTACTTGGGTAAGCTACATAATTCTAATTGGACTGCATGTGATGGCCTCCTTTATGTTGTATGGTGAGGTCTAACTACTACAAGGAAAACCTGCCTCAAAATGACTGTTCACGGGTCAATAAACCCAACAACAAATTAATTTAAGGCTTTAGAGACAGATTTCCTCTTTCTTATGGAAACTATTTGAGTAATCCAGCCATTTCACCAGTCAGCTACATTTATCCTTGAGGATTAACAAAGCTCTTCTGACTGGATTGATATCAACACTTCACAGATCTAACAGTCTTACTGTTGTGTTAGTCTGTTGATTGTACTCCTTCTCCATTTTCAGCAGACGGCCATTTGTGTCATCCAGAATCTCCTGTATACTCTTCGTATGGTTCTTTTGCATGTCAAACTTCTCTTGCTCAAATTTAGCAACCATGTCATTTAACTGAAACATCATATCATAGCTTCAGTTAGATTGTGATAAAGAAATGAAGATGTAAGTCAATGTACAGACACCCAAAAAAATCAATGATATTTTGAAACATGATGTTTTCTTAAATGAAAATTTTATGCGTCATGATTTAATTTTTGGCTGGTATTTATTTCTTTTCAATTTTCTCCATCTGATGTTGAATTCCTCATTAAGCTTGATTAAAGCCCGACTTATTTCAATAAATCTAATTTCAATACAGCTTAATCTGGTATAGCTTATTTCAGTACAGCTTATTTCATTACAGCAGATTTCAATATAGCTTATTTCAGTAAAGTTTACTTATTTCAATACAACTTTTTTCAGTAAAGCTTATTTCAGTATTGCTTATTTCAGTAAAGCTTATTTCAGTACAGCTGATTCCAGCTTATTTCAGTTTTGGTTCCCTACATCCTAACTCTATTTTATCAAGTCCTTACTTCTTTTTCAAATTCGTTTCTGCGTGTGATATTGGATTCCTCTACCATCTTCTTGAGTTCCACAATGTGTTTGTCTTTGGTATCCCTCATAGTCTGAGAATCTTTGACTAGTGTTTGGACTAAAATATGACAGTCAAAATTAGTAAATATGCTCAATTATCCCATCTCAGAGCATTATAGTTCAACTCTTGGACAAAATAATATGGTTCATCTATTTTTAACTTTTTAACAAACTTCTGAATCAAAACAAAATTTTCTTGTTAGGTTAAAAAGGCCCTTGCAAGATAAAATGCAAACTTACTTTTCTTTTCCATTTTAGAAATAGTTTCTTCTAATTCCTTGGCTTTTGATCTATAGTGAGATTTCAGTTCTTCAATTTCAGCATTTTTCCTATCTAAAATCTGTAGAAAAATAAAACACAACAGTAAATCATTTTCAGAATCCAAATATATTAACAGCTTTATTTTACATTTAATGAATCTTGACAAATCAAAAAGAGTCTCCACTTTAAAAGTAATTGCACTAAAATTAGATGATAAAAAAAGAAAATGACTTCATATTTATATACAAATTACATTCCTGGTTGTCATCTTTTCATCAATGACATGAAAAATATGTAAGCAAAGTGTTTTTTCCTTGAAAGTTTCAAAATATGAATGAGTAACCCATAAGTAATCAATTCCAAACTATCGATGAATTCAATAAAACATAAAGCATTTTTCTACAAATCATTTTACATTAAATAAAATAACTTTAATTTCATGAATGTAATAAAAAAATCCTCAAATTTATAATTTATTTAACGATCAATTACCTTCTGTACAGCTGAATCATGTTTTTGTTGTAGGCGTAATTTTTCTTCATGAAATCTTGCTTCTAACATTTTTGTCTTCATTTGTATATTCTGAAAAGAAAAATCACTTGAACTGTATCTTCCATCAAAAAACACACTAATACCAAAACAAACAAGATTCCAGGTATTGTGAGAATACAATTATAAATTACCTCCATTTCAATTTAATTTTAAACTAAAAATGATAAACAAAATTACTAATTCAAGAATAAGTTTTGCTTAAAGACAAGAAATTTCAAAATTTTTAATATGCCTGATAACCCTTCACTTTGAAAGTTAAATGATAATTACACATGATTTTAGCAATACGGTGTTAAAGAAGAAGTTATTTTAATTGTATTTGGATAAGTGGCACACCACAACAAAACCATAGTTTTGCTCTTCCAAAAATAAGTTAAAATGTTGATATGTGCGTTACATGATTGTAGAGTAAATAGAGTATTTCAAGCTATCTTAGTTCTACTCAATAATTTAAATTTAGGTACATGGGCAGTCTTACTTATTTATAGAGCCAATAATATAGGAAATAAACTTACATCTTTGCCATAATCCTTTGTTTGATCAACATCAAAAGTCAATTTTGTGGATGCAATGGATCCTAAAAGAAAACACATTTAAAATTGACAATCAAAAGTTTGATATATGAAATATCCTATCAACCTTAGATAAAATACCCCTACTCATATCAACCTTTGATAAAATACCCCTACTCATATCAACCTTAGATAAAATACCCCTACTCATATCAACCTTTGATAAAATACCCCTACTCATATCAACCTTTGATAAAATATCTCTACTCGTATCAACCTTTGATAAAATATCTCTACTCGTATCAACCTTTGATAAAATACATATCAACCTTTGATAAAATATCCCTACTTGTATCAACCTTTGATAAAATATCCCTACTCATATCAACCTTTGATAAAATATCTCTACTCGTATCAACCTTTGATAAAATATCCCTACTCGTATCAACCTTTGATAAAATACCCCTACTCATATCAACCTTAGATAAAATATCCCTACTTGTATCAACCTTTGATAAAATATCCCTACTCATATCAACCTTTGATAAAATATCTCTACTCGTATCAACCTTTGATAAAATATCCCTACTCGTATCAACCTTTGATAAAATATCCCTACTCGTATCAACCTTTGATAAAACATCCCTATTTGTATCAACCTTTGATAAAATATCTCTACTCGTATCAACCTTTGATAAAACATCCCTACTCGTATCAACCTTTGATAAAATATCCCTACTTGTATCAAACCTTTGATAACATATCCCTACTCGTATCAACCTTTGATAAAATATCCCTATTCGTATCAACCTTTGATAAAATATCCCTACTCGTATCAACCTTTGATAAAATATCCCTACTCATATCAACCTTTGATAAAATATCCCTATTCGTATCAACCTTTGATAAAATATCTCTACTCGTATCAACCTTTGATAAAATATCTCTACTCGTATCAACCTTTGATAAAATATCCCTATTCGTATCAACCTTTGATAAAATATCCCTACTCGTATCAACCTTTGATAAAATATCTCTACTCGTATCAACCTTTGATAAAATATCTCTACTCGTATCAACCTTTGATAAAATATCCCGACTCAGGACTGCATTCTAGGTAAGTTTTGTGATGTCATTCTGATATTTTGTTTTACTTCAGTGTACACACAGGAGGTACAGTTATATATAACCTACCTCCAAACAGACCTGATGGAGGGTTATAGGGAGGAGGAGATGGTTGGCTAAGTTCTTCTTCCTGGAAATAAAACATAAAATGAATACATCTGGCAAATTAATTTGTTCAAACTTGATCTTAATCATGAAAGTCAACAGAAAATTTATCCAAGATGCTGGATTAATCCTACTCAATTTTCTTTTTTTTTCTACTTGTTATGGACTAAAAATCCTGTTTCAGAAAAGATGTATATTTTTTCTTCCATTTTTAAGAAACCAGTAATAAATTCTGCGAAGCACTGCCTTTCCTTTTCTCTTTGAAGGATACTGGGAAAAGTGTTGAAAACACCAGCAATGAACATCATCAAATTTATTCAGGGTGTTCACTAAACTTTTAAGTAAGCCCAGCTATTTCCTGGTACCTCTGTAACACAATATGATCTAAAATTGATTTTCAGCACAGCTCTGTTCTGCCATGGGCACCACCGAAATTATAACATACACCACAGATGCTTTCAAAAAGTTCATACAGTCCTGCAGGTTTAAGACTGTCCATATCTTTTGCCATATATAGACACCATTAATAATGCATGTAAGTTTATCACCAGCCTACGCCTCTTCATCATTTCTAAATTTTATATTAGGTTATGTGCAGTTCATGGGAGTACCTTTAATTTGTAAAAGATTATATGTATAATTAAAGACTTTTGTTCAACTCTATTGTTTGTTGTTTTTTCATAAAGTCAGTGTTTAATGATTTTACCTTGCCTATATACAGTTAATATACCTGTCTATATTCTTCATTTTTCCGTTGATCAAACGAGTTCAGTAAGTAACAAGAAAGTAACAGTTATTTATCATCATAATCTTAAGTTCAGTGTCTTATTTTGGAACTAATTGAGTTTTCTTCTTTTTATTACACACTGGAACACAAGTTGTACACATATTGATAGAATCCAATATTTATTTGATAGTTCAGAAAATATTTTAAACTTGAAAAACTATCAATTAATCTCAGGAATTATTGAACATTTTCATTTATACATGTCTGATTTGTAAATCAAGAACTTTGTTGTTGTCACTGATTTGATCTTCAGAAAACATCTGAGTGACTGATACTGCATGCTGCAATAAAAAATATGCTGTTACAAAATCATGTTCAACATCTGAAAAGGAAAAACTGCAATCAAACAGTACCTCAACCAAACCCAAATTCACTTACATGGTATGATCTCTAGCTAAAATTTCAATGCATGCACCAAATTAACATGGAAAAATTATTAACAAACTTGAGAAAACAACACTAATAAAATATATTGATTATTAACGATGTCTCAACCATGTTAGTCAAAAATCAAACCCAACAAAATCTTTCTTTTATCTTTTGTCTCATCATCGTCCTCATCATCAACATCATCAATTCATTTATTCTATAACTCGTTATTTTTCCAAGTATGGCAAAACAGTATCGCTATTAACAAAGATCTGAGACACTGAAGTTTATTTTAACATCTTTATAGACTTCTGAAAAACCAGGTGTTGGTTTTTCTTAGCAGTTTTTAAAGGAAATGTTGAATATATTTACAGTTCTTGGTGACCTCTGTGAGGTATGACATCAATATTACAGGGGGTAAGACTTAACATAATGCTGAAAACCAAACCCACATCACCCAAATTTTAACAGTTAAACTCTAATAGCATGTGTTCCTAGCTGTACTTTAAATCCGAAATTTGCCATTTTAGATTCAAGCAATATGCCTGTTTTGGATATAGCATATTATTACCAGCATTCTTACTGTATTTTTTAATTTAGTCATATTTTCACTGTACATAGAAAATATTTTTTGTTGTTGTCATGTACATGTGTGTAAGAATACAACAAACAATGTCACAACATTAGAAACAGAAATCAAGTCCTGAAAGCTCTTCAAGTTCAGTGATAGATCATTCATCTGATGTGAACAGCACATCAATTCAAAGAAGAATTGTTTTCCAGAAAATAACGAGAACTGAGAAAATTCCAGTCAGAATACTGACACCGACAGGCTAAAGTCAGGGTGCAAGTGGAAGATAAGTTTATTTGGACAGATCTTATAAAATCGATTATTCCAGTCAGCCAGTTGACAGCAGAATTTTGAAGACAATGAAATACATGTATCATTTTTCTGTCGCAACTAAATCCATTACAGCTCAAACAACACAAGCACAATTCAATCAAAACAGAAACTTTTAAAAGTCTTGTTAGTCCTCTGATAAGCAAATATTCTGACTACTAAATACCAGTATAGTTACCATCCAGAAGTACTCAAATTCTAATACTCCACAATGTAGTTACCATACAGCAGTACTCAAATTCTAATACTTCACAATGTAGTTACCATACAGCAGTACTCGAATTCCGATACTCCACAATGTAGTTACCATACAGCAGTACTCAAATTCTAATACTCCACAATGTAGTTACCATACAGCAGTACTCAAATTCTAATACTCCACAATGTAGTTACCGTACAGCAGTACTCAAATTCCAATACTCAACAACGTAGTTACCATACAGCAGTACTCAAATTCTAATACTCGACAATGTAGTTACCATACAGCAGTACTCAAATTCTAATACTTCACAATGTAGTTACCATACAGCAGTACTCAAATTCTAATACTCCACAATGTAGTTACCATACAGCAGTACTCAAATTCCAATACTCAACAATGTAGTTACCATACAGCAGTACTCAGAAGCTAATAATCCACAATATAGTTACCATACACTAGTACTCAAATTCTAATTCTCGAAAATGTAGATACCATACAGTAGTACTCAAATTCCGATACTCGACAATGTAGTTACCATACAGCAGTACTCAAATTCCGATATTCCACAGTGTAGTTACCATACAGCAGTTCTCAAATTCCGATACTCGACAATGTATTTACCATCCAGAAGTACTCAAATTCTAATACTCCATAATGTAGTTACCATACAGCAGTACTCAAATTCCAATACTCCACAATGTAGTTACCATACAGCAGTACTCAAATTCTAATACTCCACAATGTAGTTACCATACAGCAGTACTCAAATTCTAATACTCCACAATGTAGTTACCATACAGCAGTACTCAAATTCTAATACTCGACAATGTAGTTACCATCCAGAAGTACTCAAATTCTAATACTCGACAATGTAGTTACCATACAGCAGTACTCAAATTCTAATACTCGACAATGTAGTTACCATACACTAGTACTCAAATTCTAATACTCGACAATGTAGTTACCATACAGCAGTACTCAAATTCCAATACTCAACAATGTAGTTACCATACAGCAGTACTCAAATTCCGATATTCCATGATGTGGTTACCATACAGCAGTACTCAAATTCTAATACTCCACAATGTAGTTACCATACAGCAGTACTCAAATTCCCGATACTCGACAATGTAGTTACCATCCAGCAGAACTCAAATTATATGAAGGATCTTATATCAGTTTCCATGTCATATAAAATTTATGACACAAGTCTTTAGTATTTTCTATTCCATTAAGCCTAAGATTAGGAAGATTGTTCGGTATGAAAATTTAAAAAACCTATCATATATACTGATTTTCTTTATACTTTTAGCTTGAATTCAAAAGAAGTGCTGGCTGATATTGTCAACTGACTGCTTTCTGTCTGTTAAAATAGAAATGAAGGTAACTCAAATAAAGACTTGTAATTAAGAATATATATATAGATATACATCTAAAAGACATTGTGGGTTACAAATGATATACATGTATGCTTCAATTAACTACATATATATAGGTAATTAATAAAATTATACAAAATAACATGTGTAAACATCAACTTTTCATTAGGTAACTATAGTAACTGAACAGGAAAATAGTATATGTGTAAGTAGAACATACAAAGGTGTGAGTAAGGCCAAACAAAAAAAAATGTCTGTTTCTATTTCATACAATGTTTACTGTAAAAGTGGATAAACAATTTTATTACAGATGTTACTTATATGGGTGTTAATACTTTATGTTTGTATCATTAACCTGATATATATATATATGTACATGCATATCAAACCCCTGCCCCTATCTTTTTCCCCCAAATCACTATTAATAGTCTGTATCAGAGTCAACATAACATTTCAAAAATTGTCAGAATTTTTTTCCGTGTGAAATACAAAATGACCAAATTTTTCAGATAAAATAACTTTTCCCACTTATAAATTTCTAACCACAGCTTTCATATCCTTTAAACAGTTTTACATATGAAACATCATCAGACAATTTATTTAGTTTGGCCTGATAACAATAACACTGGGTAACAAGAGGTCACAAGGAACAGGTGCTCTAGGAACTAGCCCGCGTTTGTCTTACCTTCTTCCGTTTGAGTTTAGGTGATTCTTTGAAAAGCTTTCTCTCATCTGATGTAAAATGGGCAAAGTACACATATTACACACAGGCTTACAAGTGTGTTTCTATCACAAGTGTGCACATATACAAAAACGTCACTCAGAAATAAGAGATTACAAGGCATAGAGAAATACAAGATGCATGGGAGAGGTAGAAAAGAAGATCTATTTCATGTCAAAACATTCAAGATATTATGAATGAAGAATCAAATTTGGTATGAAAGCAATAATATTTTTCATAATAATGTCTACAAAACTTTACTTGGTTGCTTTTTGAATTGTCTGAAGTTTTAAATTTTTCCTGTTTGTTTCCATATCTCTGTAAAAGATACTATAGCTTCTCAGTCCAGAGTTTTCTATTTTCTGTGATAGAATGGACACTCACCATGTCTGATAAGGCGCAGGCTTTCCTCATCATCAGACAGGAAGTGGGTCTTCTTTATTGTGGGTGACTTTCTACCGATACTTATATCATCCTATATACCAAAGTTAAAAGAAACCCTCAAAATGTACAATATTAGCTTTAAAGTTTGTTTCCAAGTTTTAAGTAAGTAATCAGTATCAGCTGTCATATTGTTGATTACTGCAAAGTAAAGCATGAGGAATAACAGGATTGCCTGTAAACTGATACTCTAGCCAAGTCATGCAACCATTGGGACACTCCAGTGGAAAATGATACAGGATTACATGCAATCAGGAAACACTGTGAAATTATGTTATATGAAAACAAACCATACAATGGAAACTCATTAGTCCAAGAAAAACTTGGTTTTAGGTAGGAATAAAATTTGTAAATTATCTGAATTAATGAAAAAAGCTTTTTCTAATTTCTGACTAAAAAAAAAAAAACCAAATCAAAACAAAATAAATTTTCGTTTTTCGAAAACTAGAGAATGATTTTTTTTCTTTGCCAATTTCAGAATACATGAGGTTCCATTGTGTTAGTGTATACCACAAAATACAGTAAATAAATAAAGGAACAGTGAAAATATAGGCATGAGAGACAGTCGACATCAATATCTAAATTCCTACCTAAAACACAAAGGAAAGTTGTAGTATGTCATTTTAGTGATTTAAAACAGGATAGGAAATGCTACAAAGGAAACATGAAATGAAATAAAAATTATAAAAAAAAACATTTAATTATCAAATATATCATAGTCTTTATTATTTATTTTTATCTACGGAAGTACTTACAAATGACATTAAGCCATGGTCTGGTAGCTCTAAGCCTCTAACTGGCGATGTGATATGTACTGGTGATGTCATACCACGTATCGGTGATGCTATGCTGGGATCTTTGTCCAGTTCTATCCCCATACTGGTATGTGGTCTCCTAATTCAATGAAAACTGACCTTTTATCCATGTACAATTATGTCTTAAAACACTAATTAATACAAACATGTTAATCTCAAAGATAATTCAAACTGAACCATTAGTTAAGGCTCATCGAAATGTTCCATCTCTGAACATAATCAAGGTACCTGTGTGCAAGTGATCAAACCTACAGAGATTCAAGGAACATGAAGGAAGTCTGCAGAACTAGTGTCCTGGATATCAAAGTGATTCTAGTACTTACTTCCCTTTCTTTGTATTTCTTTTCCGGGAATAGCAAGTAGAAATTATTCATAACTTTCAGTATCAACCAATCACAGTGAATTGTGTTGCTCACCTGCGGAGGCCCCTTTCATGTCCGATCGGCGATATCCCAGACCTAAATGTGGAGGATGCTGTTGGGTTTCCTATAGAGGTTTTGAACAATGAAGACCCCACTGATGATGTTAGTTCTCCAGCCACCCAATCTGGTACTTTGTCCTTCAAACATTTGACACATTATAGATTTAAAGTGAATTCATCGTTTACACCTCCACAGTGATGTTGATTTAGTAGTAGATATTTACCTACATAATTTTTTATTTCTATTATCTCAGATCTGAAAGACAGCTCCAGTAAATCTACACATAATGGACAGACCATTACCTGGTAGTACATGTAATGGTAACAGTAAGGTCTTCAATGCTACATCTTACTGAACAGTTTACAACATGTGTCTGTATTAACAAAACAATTTCAGTGTGTATATACTTTGTAAAAAATTACAAAAATATGACTCTTTGTAAAATTCTATGGACCAACAGTGTTTATTGTATTGCACTATGTCACTAACCTCAAACTGTCCTTTCTTGCCAGACGGCTCATCGAAGTATATTGACTGGAACAGATTAAAAAAGGAAATGGAAAACATGTGTATATAATAGGTCAGTGAAACTTTTAAACAAGAAATGCTGTAAATAAAAAGGAAAGAAAACTTTAAAAAAAATGATCAAACAAAACAAAAAGAAGGAAGGAATAATTACAGGGGAATATCCCATTTGACATTGACGTGGTGATGTAGGGAAGGATTGGCAGACTGAATACAAGATAACACTGGTAGGACTAATCTTGCAGAGATAGCCGAGTATAATGTTGTGATAAGTAGTCATATCTTATAAACAATAATCAGTTCTGATGGTTAGAATTATTATTATGTAATATGATTTTTCTCCTTATACTTTAAATCATTTCTCATACACAAATTCTTTCCTATTTTAACTATTTAATGTAATTTAAACTACATCTGCCTGATACTGCCTTATAATCATTCTAGTTAAATGATAAACAGAATTGTAAACAAAGTGAATGTGTTTGTGGTTATTCAATTGAGTAATTAATTGTCACTGCAGTCAAGTATGAGATGCTGTTCCTAGTAGTAATGCAGTAGGAAGACTGACTATGCAGTTTTATACATTGAGTTTAGCCAGGAGAATTAAACTTCCACAGTAAAATTCCATTTTTATCATCTCCTCAGAAGAGTTACATCCCCTGGACTATGACCTGGCAGACCACACATCATCTAAGGGTTTTGATAATTGAATTACAAAACAGATTGAACAAAATTGGTTGTTTAACTGATTTTATATTAAAATCAATTTTCAGGACAAACTGACTAAGTATTGGTAATATTTACCATGTAAGGAGGTAGTGTTGGAAGGGGTCCATCTTGGGGTTTACTTGTGAATGGTCCCTCAAGGACTCCTCTTTTCAGCATATGTAACATCAGCTGAGCATATGCATTACGATTCTTCCTGTTGGTAAAGAAAAAAAACACATCACAGAACCTCTAGTCATTTTATTATTATTACATATTTAATTGTCTGCTTTCATGTCAATCATAAATACAAGTCAATATACATCTCACAGGTTAGATCTACAAGGTACATATATTGTGAAATCCTGTATAATTTGCACACCTGGAGCTGAAGTTGCTTCAAAAATTCTTCTGTCCATTCCTTTTACATGTCAAAAAAATCTGTCAAAAACGTTATCCTGGAGGTCTAAAAAATCCACCTGGTATATATCAAAATATTACTGACAATATCCAAATATTTCTTACAAACATACCTTCCAGTTATGCCCATGACTGGTTCACAAAGCTTTTTGATCCATATTGCACATTTTTGTCGATCTGAAATTAAGTGAATCAAATTATACTGCATGGCTATGACATTAATTTTAGATACCATTACTTGCATTTTCTGGTATTAACACTCAACAGATGCACAATATAACAATGAAATTTAAATAACTCAAAACTCTGTTATCAAAAAAATATATGTCTTTATGTAAACTATCAAGCAGACATCCAAATGATAAATATAGAATATTGATATTTTGTAGTTAAACTGTATTAATGTTATAATACAAACCTGTTTTATGAGGAAGTTTTAACACATGTGGTTTCATATCAGCCAAAACTTTGTCAAACTTTTGGTCTAAACCCAGGTAAACTGGGTCACTAGACATGCTAGCTGCCATTGTGTCCTCTGGTTCAATTACAATGTAAATTTGTATATGTTTATTTATCTGGAGAATCTTCACATTTTGGCAGCTACTTCACAGCAACAGGTATCTATAAAAAATAAAAGAGTTGTACTAATTACTTTATTTACTGTCAATAACGATATTATTTTAAAGATATTTTCCTTGAAAAGACTGGACATAATTGGAAACAAAAAGTTAATTTAAATATGCAGGCAACCAGTGCTTAACCATGGTACATCAATCCTTACCTTTATCCCCTCCTATTATCTATAATTTTATTGCATTTGATTATCTTAATAATTGTTGTAAAAATTCCCAGATTATCAGAAATTACAAATCTGTATGATGTGTTTTATGATTATAGCCTTTCAAACTTTTATACAATATCAAAGAAACAGATTCACGGAAAACTATCAGTGCCCACAACATTGGGTTGTGGTACATTGTGTCTTGAAATATGTTAAGGTAAAATGGAAAAGAGTGAAAATGAACAGACTGAATTGGCCAGCCTTCCACAAGCACCATGATGAAGACAAAAATAAAATCATGGTCAGAATCCATCTAACTAGCCTTCCACTACTGGGTTTGTACAATATCCTAATTATGTTTAAATAGCCATAATTTAAATCCACCACATGTAGAAGCTGAGAGCTGAGGTGACCTACTACCCTCAGCTAGTGAGAATTTCCCTATAGTCGAGAGCTTAAGGTAGAGTGTCCAGCTAGAGACCCAAGGGTTGCTAGTTTGAGTCCGGGCAAGAGCAGGGTATTTGTCACTACTTCTTCCAATCCAATTACACATAAACACTGCACATCCAATAAATGTAACTGATTATGAACTGAATTAGCAAGCAGCACTTGTGTTTAATACCATACTTCCCTTTCAGCACCTTAATTGATAGATGAGTCTTTGGGTGAAATAGAAATGTGCAATATATGTCTCTGACTGAACATACATGCTTCAGTTGGTAGAGCACTTGATCATATATATATCATGCCAAGGATCTGGTTCATATCGCCAGATGTTCAACAGGAATTTGTCTTCCCTTTTCATAACAAGTTTACATATGCACATTTTCCACAAAATATTTAAATATTTAAATGCAAAAAGATTATATATCAGACGTTCTAAGTTACACAAACACTACTTTCAGTAGCACTAATGTCGTAAGAAAGCAATATAATAAAATCGGATCACTGTTTTAGTGTTGTCGTCAAATGTGTAATCTTCAGCAGACGATTACAAAATAAATCATTTGAAAATTTGCGTATTCTTCTATAAAGTGATCAATGTTTATGGAAGATTGATATGTCAGTTCAATACACGCTAACTATACTATTCTTGTAAATATAATATTTGATTTACTCATGTGTGCAATCAAAATTTATAAATGATAATTCTTAAAACATGAAAACAGGCACAGGCATGTCACCGACTTTTTGACACTTCACACTGAACAAATTAAACAATTATCTGTTGTATTTCAGACCGACTGACGTAATTAGAAAGCAATAATATTTCTTACTCGTTAATTTGAACTGCTGTTAAAGAATTCTTTCTCCATGACGAAGTGAAATCGGCTGCTTTTTTCGTTATGTTTTGATATTCACTTTTCAATTTTGCCGCAGCCACACCGGAAGAAACAACCAAAGGTTTTCAACACATGCGTACAATCGATCTATTGACTTCCTGTTATGAGAAGACTCACGTTAGCAGCCCGACATGTGAAAACAAAAAAATCTTTACAATGACGACAATTCGGCCATTCAAGTGTGAGGACCTGTTCAGGTTCAACAATGTGTAAGTTTCTATACATTCATTTAATAGCTATCTCAGAATTAGCACGTAAATACGCTAAAATCCTGAAATCAGAATGGGATTTAGACAGAAATTCTGTCTGCAAGGAAAACTAACCATGAAGCTAACAAGGTTGATAGTACTAAAGTCAAGCCTGTCTCATCAGTTGTTAACAGTAATAAAATGGCCTGTTCTGTACAACCAAACGTATATTTTTCACTTCTTGGTTTATTTATGTAGAAGTTGAGAGTACAAGTATACTAAGCTATACTAAGCTAAGCTATACAAGTCATCTTACTAGTCGCCTGGTTAGAATTTCGTTTTAGTCAACGCAAGAGGTAGTGTCCGGTTAGGGTCACAAGATTCAACTCTACAAGGGACAGTGTATTTTCATTACTCATCCCTTTTATATTTATGTGGCCAGGTTGGAAACACCCTCAGAAAGTCGAGACTGTTTCAATTTTGCAAGGTCACATTGTGTTGTCTAGACTTTGGTTCCTAGTTGCATTGTATTTCAGAGCAGCCATTTTGTCCATCTCTGTATCAAATGAGCTATTGACTTGCATGACATTACATTTGAATGTAGCTGTCTATTTGTAACACTTGCAGAAAGAAAACAAAAATAAGATTAAATCTATTCAACATAAGATATGTTGAGTACTTCCATGTATAATTTTTTTGGCCAATTTGTATTCTTCATCTTGATATGTGTTTTAAAATGCTCCCAGATATGACAAAAGAGATATAGTCTATCAGTCCATCCTCAAATTCCAGTATTTTGTTGTGGTATATGTAACCTTTTTTTAAAAAAATATTAATGTTCACTGAATAAGTCTTATAATATGAGATTTTTTCACATTTATGTATATGTTATGGCTGATTGGGATTTGTTTAACAAATTTTGTTTTTTGAAGAAGATTGTTAATGTTTTCTTTCTGTTCCAGGTTTACAAAAATTGCTGTAATTGAGAATCTGCTGGTTGTTGTCCATTAATATAATTAAAACTGATCTTTCACTTAAGCCTAAATTTGAGCAAGTTCTTTTTAAAATAGGAAAAAAGCTAGCAGTATTCGGTTTGCATCAGAAAAAGATTAGATAAGGATAACACATTTTTTTATTAGTAGACAGTAAGAAACCTAATTTATAATCAGGCACATCAATGATGTGTTAAGTCCATAAACTTGATATCCATCACATTAATTGATCTTGAAATTAAATTAGTGGCCCGATACTTATTATAATGATCTTCATGACTGGCATTCACATTCACAGCTGCTGCAGTTTGTTGGTCAGCAAACTCTGTAGCTACACTATGTAACAGTATTATCACAAAGGCATTTGTTAGCAGAGTCAACAGCTACAACATTTCTGTAATATGAAAATGATCATGGCTATATCATTGAGGTCTATGTTAGCAAACTGAACAGCTACAATATAATTGTAATGCTGTAGTTAACATTTATTAGCCATTGAAACAGCTATGAAAACCATTTCATAAATTAGGTATGGATGGAAAGAAGAATGTAGCAATTCAAAATACAATGAACAAATACAGCTACATAACTGATCTCTTCATTTGTCGTCCAAATAGAAATTTCTCAGAGAATCTTCACAAAACTTGAAATACTCAATAAACAAAAAGACTATTCAAATGAATTTTTTTACAATGATAACAAAAAAAACTGTGACTGTTTTATATAGGGCACACTGGGTTGTGAAGAAATCACAATATCAAGACAGTCTTGACTTTCTATGAGTGGTCCCAATCTGACCTAATTAAGAACATGATAGGTACATTATGTATATAATAAAAAAAATTGACATATTTAATCAAAAGGTTTTTTTTTGACAAATGAGCATCTTCATGTTTGAAGCATTTCTTTTAACTACTTTAAGACATACCACCTGATGAACATGTATGTATAAAGTGATGTTATATAGATAGGAAGCCACATATCTGATTGGTAATATGGCCATGACATGCACCTTAATGTAGGACATTTCAGGAATGCAGATCATTATTCTGACCTGTCTGTAGACCATAAAAACCTTGCCACTTCAATAACAGCATGTGATATATTACCCCAAGGGAAAATCCTGTCTAATAAACTTTCAAATTTGTAATAGGAGTCATGTGCTTTGTTAAGATAGCAATGTGAAAGTTGATCACAGTTATTTAAAAGCTTACTTTATTTCTTATAAAGGTGTTTCTTATAAAGGTAAACCTGTCATAGAATTCATGCAAATTAAACGCATAGCAGATCTTCACCTGCATGTTTCATTTAGGAAACATGAACTCCTTCACACTCAATAGAATAAATTGTCCTTGACACTGAATAATTACTAAATGCATTATGGCTGATGTTCTGTACACTTACATTCAGAATAAATTGCACATAATAGTCAACAAATGTTCAGTATGACAATTGTTCTTTATTATGCCTGTCGCGTAATTCATGGCATTTAATTTTCTTTTTACAGTTTTGCTTCAATAGTAAAAGTAAATTGCACACTCAAGACAGTTGATCTACAGTATATGTCGAACTACGAACTGCTTTGCCATAATTTTGTAATGTTTTGTTGTTTTTCAATCTTCAGGAATTTGGACCCACTCACAGAAACTGTATCCTTTTCAAACAAAGTCAACATTGATCCATATATCTTTTAACTGTAAGCCAATTATAGCATCTATCATTCATTAGAAGATGCACTCAGCTGTTGTACTAGATTTCTAGAAACCAAATACCATAACTGTTTGGTTCCTGTGGCAAGGCAAGGGAGGTAATCCATAGTGTATTTGTTAAACTCCTATACGTGCTAAAGATGTTGATTGAATGTCACTTTTAGAATAAGGTATGAAAATGTGTCAGTAATTTATAACAATACTTAGATGTTTCCATCCCAGAAAATGAAATGATAAGGGCTACATTCATGAAAATTTCTTATATTTTTTTATGAAAACATTCCAACTATGTACAAAATATAATAGTTGGGAGCACTAAGTGCAGATGTATACTTTTGTAGACTTGTATGCATTAGAGAACACAAAAACACACAAATTATTACTGGATATATTTTTGGCAACCTTCAGGTATTGAGAAAAGTGCATACATGTAAATCAAAGTTGATCAAACGTTGAAAATGAGGAAAAAAACCTCTTGTCTGAGAAAAGTTAACTTACTGCATGTACGTTTATATAATTAGTAATTAGTAAATACGATGGAACTTTTCCAAACTGATCACGTATGGGATTCGGATATAATTGAACTGATGTCATTCTGCATATTACTTTACAGATTCCATTCTCTTACAGGTTATTTCCACTGCACGTGTCCAAATGTATATAGAAAAAAAAGTTTTATAGAGTAAAAATTTTTCTGTAAAGTGAAAAACTAGTGATATTTGTATACTTTATGCATCTTTAGTTGAACTTACAAATTTGGGCATTGCCTGGCAATCTCGGACGTATGTATGGCCTGACGTAGTTAGATGGTCAGGTTGTCCGAACGTGTTACCAACCGGTTATTTGGATGAATATGTGCTTTTGTTGATCAGTTGAAAATAACTTATCTTCTAAATAATACTTGATTCATATTTCCATTCTGTATGAGTTACAATAACATTTTGTTATTCATGTTTTAGATAGAAATCAAGGCTTTCTAACTGTGTATCAGTACTTATTTCTACTTTCTCAATTCTGTAAAATGATGGACTCATTTGATATGGTTTTAATTTGTCATAACAGATAACTTAACATTATGTTTATTACAATCCTCCCAATCAGGGTAGATAATGTGTACAAAGCCTACCCATGATGGGCGTAAGCGTTGGGGGCAAAGCTTACAACTGTTACCTCAGAGGTGTTGATTTCATGGTCCGCTGGTCAGCACTCAGATCTTGATTATTCAGTTAAAGTCAGTTTTCAGAAGTGATTTTTGTACATTTCAATCATTTCGGACACAAAATTATTTCAGTATTCGGAATTGAGAGGGATCAGTATTGGAAAGGTTTTTATTACTATGATAAAGAGGATGTCATTCCATACATGGTCATTTCAAGAGTTGCTCGGTTTTCAGAAGGATCTATTTGGGGAATTTGCACTGTGTAGCATTTAACAAAATAAGCCAAATTCATCATCAGTTTTTGTTACTGTTCCTTAACTAGCCAGTATGGCCTGCCTTTCTACATGCAGTACCTTGCTCACTGGCCAGAATACTTCCAGGTGGCTGAATCCCCCAATGGACAGATCATGGGTTACAGTAAGTATACCTAATATGTAACAATCATTTTCTGTATTTTAATTCAGGAGAAATTTAAAATGAATTTATTGTGAAAAATTCATGCTTTTTCCAATTTAGAATTTAAAGCTGAAAAACCTGACCTGGACTGTGTTTAATATGGTTTGAATTACCTCCCTTGTCACAAAATGCTTCTTGCTGTTCTTATAGTGCACAAAGATTTATGTTGGAGTAATGCTGAATTAACTCCTGGTACAGGAGGCTTAAAAGTTGTACCAGTTATGTCAAACTTTAAATATTCTGGAAACATGACCAACATGGCAACACACCACAGACTCGAATGTAATTCAGTTTTCATCATCAAGCTTATGAATTGCAATCAATTACTGATCCAAAATTTGTCATGGATTCCAGGTCATGGTTTGGAAACAAGATGATGAAGCCTGATAGGGTATTGATGTTACCTATGTGGGAATGATCCAAGATCTTTAGCCATAATTGGTGATGTCAAACTGAGTTTGGAAATATGATTAATGATAGAATTCTACAGACTTATACCCAATATAAGATTATGTTGACTTTTCTATACATGTCCTGTCCACAGCATACTGATTAAATAAGACTTGTACGAAAACGAAAAAAATACCAGCCTTACGCACAGACAAAAGTTTAAAAGGTTTGCAGATGAAACTGCCCTAAAGATGATGGCCTGTGCAATTTTATGTAAGCTCAAAGGTCAAATAATTTAACATCTGCACATCAAACAGAAGTTGAAACATCAACATATCAATGTCATTATAATTCTGGTTTATAATGGAGTCTCTTTTGTCATTGTCACTATGCTGTGAAAAAAAGCACATGCATATCTTATGTAAATTACATACAGACTTGTAATTCTTAATGAGTCAATTATGATAATATGGTATTTGCCTTTTATGCTTTAAACGTTTCGTAAAGCTGAAGTACAGTTTTGTTTTAGCCCACGATTGTCACATGGTTGGCTGTTAAGTTGCCCTTCGTACATGGTCCATCAATCTGTCTTTAAACAATTCTTGTTATCATTACGACTTTATCAATTGATCATTCTCAAAATTTATTTGAAAGTTTGTTTATGTCCCTTGTTGTGCCCTTTGAGTTGTGGGACTGATCTTAATGAAAAAGTGGATGACAGGCAGCTATTATTATTATCATTGACTAGTAAAATTTGTTATTGCTATTTCTTCAGTAGAACTGGATGGATCCTATTCAGTTTTCATATCAATATAGGTTTCTTCTAGACCTTTGTTGTGCCTTTTTGATTGGGGACTTATTAGAAGAAGAAAAAAATGGCTCGCAAGCAGCCATCTTGTTTCATTAAGGAACAAGTAGTTGGTAGCCCTGTCTATTCAATTCTGTCGTCTAAGAAACTTAAATTGTTTATTCTGCTATGACTAGGCTGGGCACAGAAAGTTAGGGATCACATTTAAAGATATATTTTTTGGTATCAAAAGGCAAAAAAAGTTTAGAATATGAAATATAAGAGCTCAACTCATTAATCCAGCACCACTAATCTGTTGATCCCTCTATCCCAACTCATTAATCCAGCACCACTAATCTGTTGATCCCTCTATCCCAACTCATTAATCCAGCACCACTAATCTGTTGATCCCTCTATCCCAACTCATTAATCCAGCACCACTAATCTGTTGATCCCTCTATCCCAACTCATTAATCCAGCACCACTAATCTGTTGATCCCTCTATCCCAACTCATTAATCCAGCACCACTAATCTGTTGATTCCTCTATCCCAACTCATTAATCCAGCACCACTAATCTGTTGATTCCTCTATCCCAACTCATTAATCCAGCACCACTAATCTGTTGATCCCTCTATCCCAACTCATTAATCCAGCACCACTAATCTGTTGATCCCTCTATCCCAACTCATCATCAATCTGTTGCCCCACACTCCAGTCCCACCACTAATCTGTTGCCCCCTCTATCCCAACTCATCATCAATCTGTTGCCCCACACTCCAGTTAAACCACTAATCTGTTGCCCCCTCTATCCCAACTCGTCAGCAATCTGTTGCCCTACACTACAGACCCAAAACTAATCTGTTGATCCCTCTACCCCTACTCGTTATCAATCTGTTGCCCCACACTCCAGTCCCACCACTAATCTGTTGATCCCTTTATCCCAACTTGTCATCAATCTGTTGCCCCACACGCCAGTCCCACCACTAATCTGTTGCCCCACACTCCAGTCCCACCACTAATCTCTTGATCCCTCTATCCCTAGTCGTCATCAATCTGTTGCCCCACACTCCAGTCCCACCACTAATCTGTTGATCCCTCTGTCCCAACTCGTCATCAGTCTGTTGCCCCACACTCCAGTCCCACCACTTATTCTGTTGATCCCTCTATCCCTACTTGTCATCAATCTGTTGCCCCACACTCCAGTCCCACCACTTATTCTGTTTATCCCTCTACCCCTACTTGTCATCAAATTGTTGCCCCACACTCCAGTCCCACCACTAATCTGTTGATCACTCTATCCCAACTCGTCATCAATCTGTTGCCCCACACTCCAGTCCCACCACTAATCTGTTGATCCCTCTATCCCAACTCGTCATCAATCTGTTGCCCCACACGCCAGTCCCACCACTAATCTGTTGCCCCACACTCCAGTCCCACCACTAATCTATTGCCCCACACTCCAGTCCCACCACTTATTCTGTTGATCCCTCTGTCCCAACTCGTCATCAGTCTGTTGCCCCACACTCCAGTCCCACCACTTATTCTGTTGATCCCTCTATCCCAACTCGTCATCAATCTGTTGCCCCACACTCCAGTCCCACCACTAATCTATTGCCCCACACTCCAGTCCCACCACTAATCTGTTGATCCCTCTGTCCCAACTCGTCATCAGTCTGTTGCCCCACACTCCAGTCCCACCACTTATTCTGTTGATCCCTCTATCCCTACTTGTCATCAATCTGTTGCCCCACACTCCAGTCCCACCACTTATTCTGTTTATCCCTCTACCCCTACTTGTCATCAAATTGTTGCCCCACACTCCAGTCCCACCACTAATCTGTTGATCCCTCTATCCCAACTCGTCATCAATCTGTTGCCCCACACTCCAGTCCCACTACTAATCTATCGCCCCACACTCCAGTCCCACCACTAATCTATTGCCCCACACTCCAGTCCCACCACTAATCTGTTGATCCCTCTATCCCAACTCGTCATCAATCTGTTGCCCCACATGCCAGTCCCACCACTTATTCTGTGGATCCCTCTATCCCTACTCGTCATCAATCTGTTGCCCCACACTCCAGTCCTACCACTTATTCTGTTGATCCCTCTATCCCAACTCATCATCAATCTGTTGCCCCACACTCCAGTCCCACCACTAATCTGTTGCCCCACACTCCAGTCCCACCACTAATCTGTTGATCCCTCTATCCCAACTCGTCATCAATCTGTTGCCCCACACGCCAGTCCCACCACTTATTCTGTTGATCCCTCTATCCCTAGTCGTCATCAATCTGTTGCCCCACACTCCAGTCCCACCACTTATTCTGTTGATCCCTCTACTCCTACTCGTCATCAATCTGTTGCCCCACACTCCAGTCCCACCACTAATCTGTTGATCCCTCTATCCCAACTCATCGTCAATCTGTTGCCCCACACTCCACTCCCACACACTAATCTGTTGCCCCACACTCCAGTCCCACCACTAATCTATTGCCCCACACTCCAGTCCCACCACTAATCTATTGCCCCACACTCCAGTCCCACCACTAATCTGTTGATTCCTCTATCCCAACTCGCCATCAATCTGTTGCCCCACACTCCAGTCCCACCCCTAATCTGTTGCCTCACACTCCAGTCCCACCACTTATTCTGTTGATCCCTCTATCCCTAGTCATCATCAATCTGTTGCCCCACACTCCAGTCCCACCACTTATTCTGTTGATCCCTTTACCCCTACTCGTCATCAATCTGTTGCCCCACACTCCAGTCCCACCACTAATCTGTTGATCCCTCTATCCCAACTCGTCGTCAATCTGTTGCCCCACACTCCAGTCCCACACACTAATCTGTTGCCCCACACACCAGTCCCACCACTAATCTATTGCTCCACACTCCAGTCCCACCACTAATCTATTGCCCCACACTCCAGTCCCACCACTAATCTGTTGATCCCTCTATCCCTACTCGTCATCAATCTGTTGCCCCACACTCCAGTCTCACCACTTATTCTGTTGATCCCTCTACCCCTACTCGTTATCAATCTGTTGCCCCACACTCCAGTCCCACCACTAATCTGTTGATCCCTCTATCCCAACTCGTCATCAATCTGTTGCCCCACACTCCAGTCCCACACACTAATCTGTTGCCCCACACTCCAGTCCCACCACTAATCTATTGCCCCACACTCCAGTCCCACCACTAATCTATTGCCCCACACTCCAGTCCCACCACTAATCTGTTGATCCCTCTATCCCAACTCGTCATCAATCTGTTGCCCCACACTCCAGTCCCACCACTAATCTGTTGCCCCACACTCCAGTCCCACCATTAATCTGTTGCCCCACATTCCAGTCCCACCACTAATCTGTTGCCCCACACTCCAGTCCCACCACTAATCTGTTGCCCCACACTCCAGTCCCACCACTATTCTGTTGATTTTTCTCATCGTGATCAGTTCCACTCTGCTGACATCACTAATCTGTTGGTTCCATACTTCTGGAACCGTTAATCTGTCAGTTTCACTCTCCTAATCATTACTTGGCATTATTTCATTTGGCTCCAAACTTCTGATATGAGAAAGTGTAATTATAATTATACAAGGACTGTGTTATTGAAATACAGGAATAAATTCTATGCTGACATGTATACTACATTGCTAGATATGTTTAAAAAATGTTCAGTTTTGTTTCTCATTTATCTATTAAGAATCCAGGGAGGGAGAGGGCACCAAGAAAACACATTTTATGATCTTCCTTAAGGATCACAGTTACATATTATGG